ATTTGACTATAACCTTATAAACAATTATGTTTTGTAAGTACCACCACGGGAGTCCCACGTCTTGGGGGACTTAAATAACCATTGGTCTCTGTTTGGTCACTTTGTGGCCCTCTATTGTCACGGTTCCATTGACCTCTGTTCTGTGCGGAGATAAGTGCTACACTATTGTGGGAGCCACCTCTATAATCCGTACGAGTCACCTCTTGAATCCGTATCTTTGTTCTGATTGTTACTCATGTGACTTCTGTTCTGTTCTATTTGGTACCGTAGTTATGGTTATTTATTTACATAATCTTAGCTTTGCTACTTAAATGATTATTTGTTCAAACCAAGTGATCTTAACTATTTCGGTTACCTAACTATCCATGGTTAGTTTGTATTCCCTATACTTTTGGCATAATATTTCTCACTCTGCCATGTGCTTATAGCTGTTTACCAATTTTCAGAAACCAATGTAATTCAGAAATAGCTTTTGGAAAGTCTTAGACGCGAGACTGCGAAATAGACACACACAACACTTTTATGATATTTTTCTATGCAAATATCGACATTTTTTGTCAATAAATTTTGTAATAAAAATAGAAGCTCCGATGATTATTTTGGTACCCTCACTTAAATATTACTTTCGCTCGTGTTTATTAATTTGTTTAAGAATTGGCCGGAGGTAAGTTCAGTTACTGGCCATCACGATACTTAACCCTTGGGTACGAGGAACGGGTCGTGACAATAGAGGTGTTTTGCAAAGCCTTGGTTTGTTATTGAAAGCATTTGTTATGGATACTTGTCTATATGCCATATATATATATTGAATATGAGTTAATAGGAAAACAATATATAATTTCGTAAATTTTTCTTAACAAGTATAACTATATTACTAAAACAATACATATTAGAAAATTAAAGTATCTGATGGTAATATAGTATTACAGATTGGCAATGTATAAATACAGTAATATATATAAATTTACATATTTATATTTTTTTATATATTTATATATGTATACATTGACATATATAAGATATTACAAAAGTAATATGCGAAATATTTTGTAACAATATAATACATGTAACATTGAGAAGTTAATTATTCATAATTAATATTTGGTCATAATGTAGATATTCAGTATTACATTTTTGTGTGTATGCACCATTTTTTAATTAGATTATTAAATTCACATAAAAATTAAAAAGAATTTGTGAATAATTTGAGATTAGTGAATAAAGATTTAAAAAAAAGAAGAAGTTTTTATGTTTGGTTTGATTTATTTTTTCAAACTTTTGTTTTAAATTTAGTGGTTTTCATATTTTTTGTCTTCACACTTTTTTTTTTAATAACCTATTCATTTTCTTTTTAGCACTTAATTTTACCCACCCAAAAAAGATTCACTTAATTTAATACTTTTTAGTTTTTAATTTTATTTTTGAGATTTCAATTCACTTAATCTAAACAAATTTAGAAAATAATTTATTGTGTATTCTTTTTGGGAAAAAATTATTAATATTAAATAATAATAATAACAAATATATATATATATATAATAATAAATAGTACATGTTTGAATTTATAATTTTTTTTACGAATATTTTACTTTTTAATTCTATTTAGATATTAGATTTTCATGTTAAGTTTAATTTAAATATAAAATATAAAGAAATTTCAGTATCTTTAATTATCAAAACTAAGAAGATATGAAAAAAAAAGGAAAAATAGATTTAAAAAATAAAACTAATGAAAATGGTTCTTACTTGGAATTTTAACATCATACATTGGTTATTAAAGTACCATATAAAATATTACAGTTCATAAAATATAATTTAATAAAAACGAAAATGTATGAAGATAACCTACGAAATTTTGAGATGCAGCATAAATCTCTATTTTAAAAATGCATGCATTGTCATCTATCTAGATTCAAACGAATTCATACAATTTTAAGATCAACCAAAATATTTACAGTGATTTGATCAATTATAATTTATAGACAATTGTAAATATTATGTATATCAGTATAGAAGTAAACACAGTAAATAAGAAAGAATAATTATTTTTTATTTTCTAATCATTATCAATGTAAAAAATAGGGATATGACTTATTTTATTTTTTATTTTTTGGATAAAGATGGAGTCAGTTTGTTTATATTTATATATGACTCTTGGAAGTAAATATATCGTTTTTAAGTGTTTATAACTCAAAAGGGGATAGTTGATTTATATACAACTCTTCATGACTTTTAAAAGATATAGTAAATTTAAGAAGATAAAATTAGAATTTAAAAAAAGTAGAAAATATGGTGGGCTCTTCACATTTTTATAATAGTAACAGGTAATAGGTAGATAGTAGATAGTAGATAGATAGATAGATATCGAAGTTTTCAAGTTAAACTCCAGTCCCATGGACTATTTTGACAATTGAGTTAAAAATCAAAAAGCTAGTTTTTTGGTTTTTTTGAATCATATCGCATCTATATTTTTTAAAGAAAAATACTTGAGGCTCTCATTTTTTGAAGATTCTCACAGCCCCCTTTGGATCTCTACCATTAATGTATGTATGAGACCCACTCATGTATGTGTGGAACTCACACAGGGGGTTATGGGAATATCTAAAAAATGGGAGTGTTAATCATTGTTGTTTTTAAAAGTATATTCAATAAAAAAAAGTCAAAAAAATAACTTTTAATTTACTTCCAAAAATAGGCAATTATAAGAGAAGTACAAAACAAATAATATCGTATAGCATCATAATGAAGTTGGAAAATCTTTTGAAAATAATTGAAAAAGGTAAAAATGTTTTGAATCGCTAAAAAATATGTTATGAAATCAATGAAAAATATTTCATATGTTAGGCGTCTAATTTATTATAAATTAAAAATTAATATTTAAAAAGTAAAACTAAAGGTACTCTTCTCTTAAATTTTGAATAATATTTTTTTTTCAATCTTATTTATTTATTTTTTATCTGTTTGGTTTTAGATATAAATTGTATTAAATAATCCCACACAATCTCTCAAAATAAAATAAGTTATAAGCAATTAATATGAACTGCAGCAAACAAAACATTATACCCCAATGGTGCTAACAAGATCCAATTAAACTTATCCCAACTGATGTATAATGATCACATCCAACTTAATCGGACAAATAAACCGACCTAACTTCACTAGGGCTGCCCGTTAGAAGTTGAATATCCAGGCCCACTTAACTAGCCCAAACCGAAGTTAAAAGCCCATATTAAAACTAGTGCAAAAGAGAGAGAACGCATCAAGTAGGTCACCCACTTTTGTGCAAATCTACGTGGGGTGGGAAAAAGTTTAAAATTGGGCATCCCCAATGTCCAATAATTGCTCATTTAAAAATCCCCCATAAGATAAACATCTTTGCTTTACTATAAATTCCACACTCTCTTTTATGAAGCGTTGATCCACGCGCGAAACAATAGAAAAGAGGAACCGACCCATTACCGTAGGATTGTCTCACGACCATGCCGAAGCGCGTGAAACGGCGATTAGAACTTGTATCACTTTTTGGTTAATAAACTCCTATTGTAAAAATATTTATATGTGCTTTTGGCAACGCATTAAAAAAAAGTTAAAAATTAATTTTTAACTTATTTTAGATTATATCACTTCTCATATAAAATAGTGAAAAAAATTTAAAAAGTCAGTTGTTAACCATCTCCTCAAAATACCCTTTAAAATATATTAAGAAATAAGAGTTTATGAAAATGCGTATATGTATCTATATTTGAGTTATTTTAGAAAGATGATTCAAAATTATCTATATCATTTTTCATATTTTTTACATTTTTTTAAAAAAAAATAAAAAAATCAATTTTTAATAATCTTCTCAACAACCCTTTATCTTATTGTTGTTCACTTTTCTCCTACTAACACAACTCCTTAAGTTTCTTTTCAAACTATAACGATATCCTTAACTCGCCATTTTAAAGCTCTTATGGCACCATAACTATCACAAAGGAAAAAAATTGCAATCAAAATAGTGAGCGATTGAGAAATAAAAATAAACAACTCTAATAGATCTGGATTTGAGAGTGAAAAGAAATTTGTGTTTGTGAAAGGATGTGATTTGGTGAATCTATAGTTTGGTGATAGTGGAGGGGATTGGGGGTGATAAATAGGTTTGGGTTGCCCGATTAAAATGGAAAAGAGGTTAGGGATATGCAAAGTGTGCTGAGGGGTACAACAGGGTGGAAGAGGGAGTGACCAAATGTAATTGAGAGAATAAAGAGAAATTGAGAGAAAAAGGAGGGCGAAAAAGTAAAAAAGACATTTTTATATTGTGAACTTTTAATTTTTATTGTAAATTAAGTTTTGCTGGTCTATATATTTACAATTATTAGTTTTGATGGTCTGTTTAATATGACTGACTGTAAATTTTTAGGTAATCAAATATTTTTTCATATAAATTTATTTAAATTATTTATGGGCAAGTTATAAGTAAAAATTATAAAAAAAACTCTTAAAATAAAATGGTAAATTATAAATACATTTCATGAGATTTATTTAAAATATGAATTATTTATATAGTTTAGAAAATTATAAATGTTTCATTATCAATTTTTTTATTTAATATAATTAATTAAAAAAATACAATTTCTAAATATTCTCTTTTAAAATGATAAAATTATTCGAATTATTAATTAAAATAAATATATGATATCATTAAAAACTGTTAATAATTTGATAATTTATTAATAAAAAACGTAATTTGTTATAAAATTAAAAATTTTAAGAGACGCGAAGTAATTTTTAGAATTATAGAAACAAATCAGATTTTATTTTAAATAGATTTCGAAAAGTGTATTTGTAAATTATCAAATATTTTTTCATTTTTTTTGGGTTAAAAAAATTTTAAGTTCCCAAAAATTAACCAAAAAAAAGAGAAAAGATTGAAATAAAAAATGTCTATTGTTCCTATAAACTAATTAAATTTTATTTTTTGTGACTCAAAAACCTGAAAAATTACCGTGGGAGATACTTTTAGTAGAGAGAGAGAGAGAGAGAGAGAGAGAGGGTTTTCGGAGCACACAGAGAAAGAGGGAGAGAGAGGAGCTTAGATACTATCTATCTTCTTCGCGGCGGATTTCGAAGCAGAGCCGAGCGAGCGAGAGAGAGAGAGAGAAGCCAGTGAATCGCGATAGATCTGAGATTCTAGAGAGAGAAAGTAAGAGAGAGTATGAGTATCAGAGGCGGAAGCAGCAGCAATGGCGGCGGCGGCGGCTTACAATCAATTCCAGCGGCGTCAAGGAAGATGGTCCAGAGTTTGAAGGAGATTGTAAACTGTCCCGAATCTGAGATCTACGCTATGCTCAAAGAATGTAACATGGACCCTAACGAGACGGTTAATCGCCTTCTCTCTCAAGGTTTTGCCTCCTCTCTCTCTCTCTCTCTAATTTTATCTGGTTTTGATGTTGATCAGTAGATGGGTTTTCTAGCTGTTTATTTATTTATTTAGGTTTTTTTGTTTTTTTTTGCTGAGTTCAGGGGGGTGATTTGTGTGCATATATATTAAGGAAAGTTTTGAATAATCATGTGTTGTATGCTGTTTTGGTTAGAAAGAAAAAAAAGATGGGGAATTTTATTCTTGTAACTATTTTCCCTATTACCAAACAGAGGTGTATATTTTTGTGTAGCTTTTAACTTGAATATCCTCAAAAAGTTTATTTATTTAATTTTTTAGGCGAAGGTTTTCTATTTATTTCCGCAGTGTATCCCATTTATTTCCGCAGTGTATCAAAAAATGGTAAATTTAAGATCTTGAAGTTTTTTTTTTTTTTTTTTCTGATGTTGCTTTAAAGTACTTGTTTATGTAAAAACCAAATTTATTTGTCATATTTTATACCCATATATGCATATATGGAGAAATAACCCAGCTTTAGCTTCTGTGTATGTTGATCATCATATGTGGTTATTTATATACACGTATGTGCATATATATACATCTTTGATGTCAATGGGTGCCCTATTGTGACAGAGAGAGAGAGAGCTTGATGATGGCGATGGTGATGTTGACGTTGTTGCTTTGTGGTGTCAACATTCACAGGCTGCAACATATAAGAAACAGCCATGGAGAGAATTATTTTTGATGAAACCCTAAGCTTATGCCCTTTATATGTGTGGTATTTGACATAATTAAAAATAGTAAAGGGGTATCATGGCAATTCAGCGTATTAATGTGGCAAGCTCATGTTGGGAGTGCCCTATTCCTACCTTGCCCTGAATCTAACCAGGTTTTTGTTTGCTACCACGGTTACGCCCACACCACTCCTACACCTGTTACACTCATTTCATATCCATTTCAGTAAGGGCGGGCTTAATTGGGAGTGCTCTATTTCCAAATCCAACCATGTTTTTGCTTCCGACCCCCAACTTACTCCTTCACCTATTAGACTCACCTCGTGTCCATGAATAGGAGGCATGTTTGGGTTGTGAGTGCCCTATTCCCATCTTGTCTGGCGGCCAATCAGCTTGGTTTTTACCCCCCACCCACTCTTACACCTGTTAGACTCACCTGGCAATACCCATTCCAATAGGGGGCAGGGATCCTGATGTTGTGGTTAATTTGCCATCTCTAGATTTTCTTGTTGGACTGATGTGTTGCTTACACCATTGATTCACTGGCTTCTTTTAAGCAATGAAGTAATTTGTGAAGAACTTAAACTTTAGAGGTGGAGGCTTTCAAAAAGAAGAAAAAGAAAAGAAAAGAAAGGAAATGTTGTATTCAGTGCACTGCCAACCTTCCTCCAAGAGGCAATTTTTTTTTGAACGAAAAAATAAAAATAAAATTGCCTCTTGAAAGAAGATTGTCAGTGCACTGATGGCAAGTGGCAATTGATTTTCATTCAGCTGATGCTCTTCGAGAACAACCATCATGGGTGATTAAGCAACTTTTGATTTTTATTTTGTGGCCAGAGTGATTCCTGCGACACAAATCTGATGCCATGGTGGTGGGAGTGGATAACACTTGCCATTGCTCCATGTCACGATCACTAAAAGTTTTTATATTGCATGCTTCAATGCAATATGAGAACTTATTGACCTGGTAGATGTCATAACACACGAGTTTCTTGATTTGGTACCAAAATTTTGCCTTTAATACCTTTGTCTTGTTAACTATAAGATGAGCAGGAAAAAAAAAAAAACTGAATCATGAATAAATTTGTCACCAACAAGAATTTCCTGAACTAGAAGTCTTTTGTGCAATTCCTGGTCCTATAATAAAATAATTCACTAGCCAAGTTTTCAGAAAAGGAAGTGCTTTTGTTTTCAAGTGGTCAAGTTGGTTCAAGAAGTATGCGGACTTGAGAGCTGTCTATGTTCAATAGAGCTCCTTGCATATTGTGGCATTTTCATCTTTTTTACACCTTTAATATTTTTGCACCATGTTTACATCAACTACATTAGTGAATGCCTGCTAGTTATTGACCACGGCTTAGATGTTACTGTTCTTTCAATTTGTTGGTCTTGTTTCACCCTTTTCTTTCCCCTTATTACTTCAAATTATTATTTAGTCATGTTATTTTTCCATATTAAGGGTGACCATTGGTTCAATAGTTAAGACTTGTCCTAATAATCTTGAGGTTATGGGTTCAAGCCTTGGGACCACCACTTTGTGCATTATGCCAAATGTTAGGTGTGTACTTTTCCCTCCCAAACACACATTAGTGTGTACTATTGGGCGTTGTTTTTTTTGTTATTTTTCCATATTCTTGTGTCTGCTAGCTCTCGGATTTAATGAAAGTTTTTTGTTGTGTTCATATGAATGAAAGTTGTAGGGGAATCCTTGTATGTTTTTGTTGAAATTCAAGTTCAGTTCTAATTTGAAGTTTGTTGATTGTCTAGATCCTTTTCACGAGGTGAAGAGCAAGCGAGAAAAGAAAAAAGAGGTGCGTGGATGTGAAAAATGCATAAAATCTTTGATTTGTATTGTTGGATAGTTGCCTTTCCCCTTCTTTTATTTTTTTTTAATACTATTTATAAAATAAAGCAACAGTTATGCTTGGTATTTGCACCAATGGCTTGCCACCGTTCTCGTTAGAATGAGTCTGATGTGAAAGTGCAGTGTTATAATACGAGATCAAATTCTTTACACTTGTGTTCAGTTGGCCAATTTTTTTGCTCCTGCTGTTTTCCCAAATGTTAGATAATAAGATTATCTGGTATAGTGAGAAAAAGGAGCTTCCAACAGCTTATTGAAGCTCTGTTAAGCTTTAGATTTGTTGTGACATTGCGTGCTAAAAATTTGCCTTATTGTCTGTTTACTTGTCTTCTATTTATTGTTTCAGAATAAGGATACAACAGAGTCCAGGTCTCGTGGCGTTAGTAACACTTCAAATCGTGGGGGTAGGGGTGGCACTGACCGTTATGTTGGACATGGAGGCTCAACTCAATTCAGCTCATATGGTATGTGGATGTTGAATGTAATTTTGAGAAGCAGTTCATTATTCGGTTTCTGAGAACTTTTTTTTTTAATTATCTTGACACTGATATCTTATTTCAGAGTCTGGTGCTTTACATGGAAAACCTGCATACAAGAAGGAAAATGGAATAAATAACCACATAAGCCCTTCTTCTGCAGCATCTGGAATGGAAGGAATTAATACGAGTCGGCGACCTCCAGCCCAGAGGTTAGTCCTGTTAAGATCTTAACTGTGTGACTCTTTTCTCTTATTTATTTCGTACTCAGAAACTTTGATGCCAGCTAAATCCTAGAAAGTTATACTTTCAGAATTGTGGGCCTTAGGAATTTTTAATTTTCCAAATTATACTATTTTAATAATCTTATTTGTGTAATTCAAAATTTATTGCAACCCGACCCATCTAGATTTGTTATCTTTTTGCTTCTCCCTCCCCATCCCCATCCCCATCCCCATCCCCATCCCCATCCCCACCACCAGCACCACCACAACAACAACCATTGCAATCTTGGCTCTGCCCCTGCAGAAGATGCGTCTGCATTGAAAGGTCTGCGAAAAGTGTGCCTATTAATAGGAAGAGCTCATGATGGAAACTATGAGGTCTTCTGTAGCACAACTTTTATCGTTATGATAAGAGAAGTTGCAAGTCAAAAAGTTTCTTATGAGTTTGGTTGCTAGATGATGCAATGCAGGGGACACAATTGATAATTGCATTCTTCTTTCCTTGATATCTATTGTATTAAACAAGGACTGGTATGGTTGCCATTTTAATTATTTATCATGCTGGCATGGCTCACAGTGGAATGACTCATGGCATTCCTTATGTGGAGCCATTGGGTTTAAATCGATGCAGATTTGGTAATATTTGAACCAAAATGATTATAACATTGTGCTGTAGGTATCTAAAATTGATAGTTAGTGATAGTCTGCAATTTGAACTTCATTGTTTTACTTTTACATGTAATTAGAGATGTGAAGCATCACACATTTTCGGCAGATTGTTGTTCAACCATTATTATATCTATCGAAGAATCGCATGCACTGTCTTTTTTCCAAATCCAAGACTTGTATCCGAAGCATGGAATGCAATTTGTTTGCCAATCTTCTGTCTGCAATGCTTATTTTATTGTCGTGTACATGTGGTCTCTCTTGCAGTGATCATCTCATTACTGAAAATAAAGCAACAACAACAGGCACAGTTGATGGAGTTTTGTCATCCTCACAGCCTTCTTCTGGATACCAACCTCTGTGGTCGGGAGTCCCTGGTCAAGTATCAATGGCTGACATTGTTAAGATGGGTAGAATGCATGGCAAGACTTCCAGCACAACAAACTCATCGCAGTATGGTGTCAATCACCACCATGTTCAGGCACCTCGATCCAATGTGTCACATCACGATTCACGTTCCTCTGATGATCATGTATCTAAGGTCTCAGAGTTAAATCCTGAGCCAGGAGTTGGTTCAGGCCATCATGTTTCTCCCAATGACGACTGGCCCTTGATTGAGCAGCCACCAGCTGCTAGTGTCTCTCCTGTCTTAGAGCCACCTGTGGCTTCCGAGCCGCATGCAGATGCATCTAACTTGTCCTTTGATAGAATTAATCAGCATCTGGAGTCTCCAGAAGATGAGGTCCATGCAGTGGATGATGATGCTATTGAAAATATTAATGTAAACCTTCATGCCGGATCTGCTTCTGTTTCCAGTAAAAAGATACAGGAAGACAATTCCGGAGGTGCCTCCCTTTTTAATAGTGACATCTACAAAAACATGGGTTCTTACCAGCCTCACAGGAGTGCCTTTGAATGTCAGGAAGGTAAAATGCTCTATTTTCAGTTTCTGGCCAGCTGTTTGTTTTTTAAATAAATTTTTTCGATAGGTTTATTTTTGGAATATCTTTCTTTATGATGCTTTTATTTTCTTAGACGATAGCTCAACTGACCATTACCCAGGGAAATTGTGGACGCTCATAAGTGATGCTTAATTTTATTGTTATTGTGCCCATAGTTGGATTTGATATTTCATTTTCTTTTTACGTACTCTAATTTTGAAAGAGAAAGAAATGTACTATGATTGTTCATTAATTTCTTCTTCTTCTTCTTCTTCTTCTTCTTCTTTTCTTCCTTTTCAGACTTCTTTTTAGTAGGTAGTTTTTCCAAACTTCAATTCGAGTCAATTGCAGCTACAGTTTCATGAGTGGCTAGACAAGGAATGCATAATTACTTAGCATTTCTGTCACCTATTTTGAACATATTTTGACAAAATAATTCTACACTAGTATGTCTTGATCTTCAAATGAGAAAATGGATGGAAGAGTTGCTCAATTTGTTTGAACTATTCACAGGGACACAATTAGCATCTTTCTTTACTCTTTTATGTTACGAGTTTATTTATTTTTTTGCTTTAATGAAATTGGTGGTAACTTACCGTTGGTTATTCCATGTCACATGTTTCAGTTGAAGACGTTGGTGCCTCAGTATCATCAGTGACATTAAACTTGCAGCAACTAAGTGTGCAGGAGGACCAGGGGCCACCGCCTGAAGAAGACAACACTCCAGTAATAATACCTAATCACCTACAAGTCCAGACTGCAGACTGCTCACACTTGAGCTTTGGTAGTTTTGGTTCTGGTATGAGTGTTGCTTTTCCTGGGCCATTTTCTTCTAGGCCTTTGAACAGTAACATGGAAGAGGCATCTGCAGATGCAAATGCAGATGCTTCATTAGTTGGGCACTCTGACACAAGGTTATACCCGCCTTTTGGAGTTTGTAGACTCTTCATTTTATTTGTTGGTTGTTTGCAGATCATCTCATGAAAGCTTTTACTCGCAGGAATCCTGAGTACTACGAGGATGAGCCTCTCAGAACTGTCTCAGATGGAAATTTAGTTCATAGAACTGAAGCAAGTGCTGGGAATTATGATACTCCTTCCTCTTCACAACCCGAAGTGTTGAAACATGAGAGCACTGAGGCACCACATGAAAATCAATACATCTTCCCCTCTACGTCAAATTATAACTTTGAAAATGGCCAACAGTTGAATGCTGCATTTCCTCATTCTCAGACGAGTTCTCAGATGCAGAATCTTGCTCCTTTCGCAAGTGTTATGGTATGTATACATGAAATGTTTTGTTCCCTTGGTTTAAGTAAGTTAATAGTTCTTACTTGTATGTGTGTTATCACGTCTGAATTCAGTTTTCATGTATTTGTGTTGTGATTAATACAATCATGCTACTGTCAGTACATATCCCTGTTTTGAGAGACTTGGGCTTTGCATCTCTTCAACATTAGATTTTAAATAATTTTTGGGGAAAATTACACTAACGGTCCCTGTAGTTTGGGGCTCGTGTCACTTTGGTCCCTGACTTTTCAATTGTGACACATTTGACCCTGCATTTTGAATCTTGTTCCAAATAAGGACAATTGAAGATATCATTACTTAATTTCAAGGGAAAAATCGTCAATTTGATAAAATATAAACTAATTTGACAAAAATAAATGTCAAAAAAATATTTTTAAATTTTTGAAAATTATTTCGTACCAAAGATAAAATTATATAAAATTGATAAATGTTTTAGACATTTATTTATTTATTTTTTTTACCGAATTAATTTTTATTATGTGTTTGGATGATAATCATGAAATGGGTGGTTGCTAAGATTTTAATGTGTAATTGATATATTTAATATATGAAATATTTTTAGTTTTGGATTTTTTGATTTAATAGATTGGTATAATAATGAAATCAAAGTTGTCGTCATATTTGACTTTTGGAAAAATAGAAACTAATTTAATAAAAATAAAACAATCACCCATTACATGATCATCATACAAATACATAATAAATAAATAAATGTTTAAAAAATTTATCAATTTTACATACTTTTATCTTTAGTGTGTAGAAATAATTTTTAAAAATTCAAAAATATTTTTTAACATTTATTTTTGTCAAATTACTTTATATTTTTATCAAATTGACGATTTTGCTCTTGAAATTAAGCAATGGTATCTTCAATTGTTTTTATTTGGGACAAGATTTAAAATTTAGTGTCAAATGTGTTACAATTGAAAAGTCAGGGATCAAAGTAACGCAAGTCCTAAACTATAGGGATTGTTAGTGTAATTCGCCCTAATTTTTGAGCATTAGAAAGGCCGGCATCTTTGCTGTGTGCTCAACATGGAGACTTGGTTCTAGGCCTACTCAAGATTGGAAAATTTCATGTTTGATTTAATGTACATAATGTTTTTGGTTAGTGCATTTCATGTTGAAACTGCTTTTAGACGAATTTTGTTGTGTTTTAATTTGTTGGCAACTTCAGTCGTATTTAACATTTTTTAGTGCACTTATTTATTTATTTATTTATTTTTGATTTGGGAGAAAGGGATTAAAGTTCTGGCAAGGTGTGAGGTTTTTAGTTATGGGACCTTGTGCAACGTTCAATATTGCCATGCATAGTTTGCACTCAGTAAATTCATGTTCTCTGAAGCTTGGCTTTGTTGATGACCTTTTCTACCATTGTTGATAGAGATTAAATGGATGTTTTTATATGCATTTTTAATTTGAGTTTTGAAATGTTGGATGAAACACATGTAAATATGTAAAATACAAGGGACCTAGATGCACAGTTACTAGCTAGATCAGGCAATTGGATTGACATCACTGCAATTTTGTGTATGTGTTGTTCAGACTTCAGCACTGCTGTGGTGGTTTATATGGTTGCACGGTTTTTTATTTCGTTATTCTATTTTTTCTTTTCTTTTTTTGTTTTTGTTTTGTTTTTTATTGTGTTTGCTAACTTTAATACAGTAAACTAAAACAGAGGCTTTATTTTGAGTGCTTTCGAATACTAGTTTTCTTTGTTAATATCACTTACATTTTTTTTTTCCCCTCACTCTCTCTCTCTTAACAGCAGGCATATACAAACTCATTACCAAACTCTTTATTGGCAGCGAATGTTCAGCCTGTAAGAGAGTCTGATATTCCGTACTCACCCTTCCCCATGACACAATCAATGCCTACAAAGTATGGCACTGCAGTGTCTTCTATCAGCGGTTCAAACATTTCCATTCCAGAGGTACCCCACCTGTACTAACTTGCTCTCTATGTTATATTGTTTAGCTCATGCATAAAATTGATAATCCACTTCTGAATGCCCAACTTCATGATTAAGAAAGAATTTTCAGGAATGCTTAGCAACTAGCAAGTTATGCACAACTTATTCAAATTATATCTCTATTTTGTTGTGTCAAAAATCAAAACAAAAAAGCCTTTGGTATATACTATATATTGGAGATCCAATTTTTTTCTTCTAATATCCATCTATTTTTCCTATTATTTCATTTATTTATTTTGGATGTACACATGCAGGCTTTGAAGACTGTTGGTTTTGCGTCAACGCAGCCAACTGCACAGACCCATCCCGGAAGTGGCATTCCTCAACATCTTGCTGTGCACCAGTATTCCCAACAAACTGTCCCTTTGGGGCCGTTTGCTAACATGATTGGCTATCCTTTTTTACCTCAGAGCTATTATATGCCATCTGCTTTCCAGCAAGCCTTTGCCGGTAATAGTACATACCATCAATCTCTGGCAGGAGCGGTTCCACAATATAAGAATAGTGTTTCTGTTAGCAGTTTGCCTCCATCTGCTGCTATTGCTTCTGGGTATGGTGGCTTTGGAAGTTCAACCAGCATCCCCGGCAACTTCCCAATGAATCCGCCTGCTGCCCCTGGTGCTACAAATATTAGCTATGATGACCTAATGAGTTCCCAGTACAAGGACGCCAATCATTTGATCTCTCTACAGCAGGTACCCTTTAGTTTTTCCTTTTCTGTTTTACACAGATCTGTTGTTCTTTATTTCAACCACACGTGTGTGTTTAAAAGAAAATAGTTAATAGCTACATAATACATACACAAACACGCTACACGACATGGAAATGCTGATGAATGATACGGCACGCTTGGGACACATTAAAATTTTAAATTTATTATGTCATATATATGAATAATTTATTCAAAGATAATATTTTTAACATAACACAATACATTAAAAAGAAATATGTTTCATAAATTAAATATCAAATATTATGCTTGTATTTCTAAATAATATAAAATAATTTAGAACATTGTAATACGCATGATACAAATATATTATAAATGTTTCAAATTAGATTTAGAACGCATAAGATGTGCTCTTAAGAATGCAAAACATTGTCATTAGGAAGGGATTCATTACATATAATATGTTCAGAGGGTTCCAGAAGTGTGAGTCCATGAAGTATCAGTAGAGTGTGTATTATTATGAATTTTATTTTTTAATTAAGACACTTTGAAAAAGTGTTAGACACGGTTTTAGAAGTGTCTAAAGAGTGTTAGCATCCGACACCCTCGTTGGATATGATCACATGACAGGCTTCCTCAACAGTATTGTCCATGCTTCTTAGGTTAAGAGGTATTGAAGAGCCATGCTACAAAGAAAGAGTCCAGGAACACATAAACCAACCATAGAATTGGACACACCTCTTTTGTAGGTCCCACACCCATGTGAGAGAGTTGTATACGGTCTTGTAAATGGTTTCTGCGTTACTAGTGGAACTGTGCTATAAAATACTTGTGTATACCATATGCAAATTGTGGTCTAGATTGTTGTTGGTTATGAAATATTGTGGAATTTGGTTATGGGCCATTGTAGTAGTGGGGCCTGGCCAACAACTTATGGAAGCAAAGTGATTAAGTCCCGTTATGGCGTTTGGTTATCTCCCAAATTGGTGTTGAACCTATTGCAATGGTTTTAGTCATGAGGAAAGTAGTCATTGGTTTTGTCCAAGAGTGGTGGTAGTTACGACCCAATGTGTTTATGATTAATGACTCAAAATTATATTTTAGATCCAATGGCTGAAAGTAGGAGTGGATAAGGTGTGCACTTTTTTGGGGTTGTATATAGTAGAATTTCCCTACAGATAGTTTTGTTTCAATTGTTAGTAAATCTTGTGCAGTCCTGAAAGGTTTTTCCTATTTTTCCGTTTCCTTTCCGAAACCCTATGAATCTTTTAATTTGATCCTCTCTCTTGGGTCTGGGCAGAATGAGAACTCAGCCATGTGGATCCATGGGCCTGGTTCCAGAACAATGTCAGCCGTTCCAGCCAGCACATATTACAGCTTCCAGGGACAGACTCAACAACCTTCTGGATTCCGGCAAACTCAGCAACCTTCACAGAATTATGGAGGAGGTATTGGATACCCAAATTTCTACCATTCTCAGGCTGGAATTTCACTTGAACATCAACAGCAGCAGCAAAACCCAAGAGATGGTGGGGCCCTCGGTGGCTCCCAAGGCCAGCAACCTTCTAAGCAGTCTCAACAGTTATGGCAAAACAGCTACTAATCTCATCACTTGGTTTTTCAGGGTCTTGTAATGAGTTTGAAGGTGGCCCGACACGAAGGAGTTCTTGCGGTTGAATAATATTATAATTTTATAATGCTTCCAAAGAGAACTCAATTGTGGCCGCCGCCCTGCCCTGCCCTGCCCTGTGCCTTGAGGTTGTATTTTTAGGGTATTTATTGCCGGTTTAATGTAACGTAGGAAGGAACATCGTGTGCTAATTTGGATTAGTGAACAATTTTCTTCTTGGTTTTTCAAATTCACTCTCCTTTTAAACTTCTTTTTCTCATATGTTGTGAAAGTAAGTTTGTTTCATGTAGTTTCCATGTTTGTGGTCTGCTCTGGGTTTTGGCTGACTCAAGTGTTCCGCCCCCGCCCCCCCGGCGGAAGATTTCAAATATAGTTTATATATGGGAAAATTGCAAATAAGTGGTATTTTTACAAAATATTTATAAATTTAATTATTAAAATTGATAAATTTTTTTATTCTTTTGTAATTTTTTTTTTTTGGAGGGGGGGGGTTTTGAAAATTTACACCCTTTTTATATATTTATGTTGTATTTGGTTGGATGATTTGAGAAGAGAGATAGAGAGGAAAAATAAAAGTTAAATAAAATAAATTTATATTTTATTTAATTTTGTACAAATTTTTTCTTTGTTTTTTTCTTCTCAAATTTCTTTAACCAAACATAAGGTTAGTGCGGTGAAGAAAAGTCGTGCCCGACCAGTAGATTGTACATGTTTAAGTTAAAAGAAGTGATGTGAGTGAGTGTCATCAAGTCTCGCCTTCAACAAAACTTGAACCCCGACTTCTCAAAAGTGGTCCATCCATCCATTAGATGAGATTAGATAATAGACTGATCACATATCTGTTAAGGCTTCAACATTTTTAGGACCCTTTATGTAATTACTCTTAATGATGGACAAAACTTAAAAGGTTTGTTATTTATTTATATAAGCTTAAAAATGAAGTTAATGAGGCTTTACATGCTTATACCACATTTATACATACATACATATATATATATATATATATATGATTGAGGTCTCATGTGTTTTATACATATCGTGTGTTTTATATAGTTTTGTATTGAATAAAATAAATGGCAAACACGTTATATTGTTCTAGATAAAATTATCTTTTAGGGCAATTGTACTAACGGTTTCTGTAATTTAAAATGCATGTCACTTTGGTTTTTGATTTTTTAATTGTGATATATTTAATTCTGAATTTTAAATATCGTTCTAAATAAAGACAATTGAAGGCACCGTTTTTTCATTTCAAAAGTAAAATCATTAATTTGATAAAATATAAATTAGTTTGATAAAAATAAATATTAAAAGAATATTTTTGAATTTTTAAAATTTATTTATGTGAAAAGGTAAAATGTTAGCCCAAACCCAAAAGTAATTTTGCAGAGCAACCCAAAGGAAAAGAAAGGCCTATATAGGTTTTTAAGGAACCCATTAGAGATAGCTAGTAGAACAATAACACGTTATTGAGCGCATGAGAAGCAAGGAAAAATAAAGATCTCTTTCTAAAAGGGAGATCAACAAAATGCTAGAGGATCATTGGATTCATCCTCATTTGACAGTAGAGACATCAAGCAGTAAATATAGAGGCATAGGCTATGCCTACTAGACGGCACAACCATTAGATCAACTTGATTGGGCGAATATAGCACTTGGCAAGTTGACCACTAACATTTAATACAATGGAAGTTGTCCAATAGAGGACGATCTATCGATCAAAGGTAAAGGCAATCTAACCACTTGCTCGACTAGACACAAAAGCGGGCAGAACCCTTGGATCAAACATTGATCCAACGAATGAGATTTAAGTCAAGAATGCTATAAACGGCGAAACATAGAGGGCAAGTTAGAGGTAATCTAAGAATTGTCTTACAAATTCACATGGTCGAACAGTGTTTTGACTTGATCATTAGAGGGTTCTCTTGACCAATCCTGGTCGGGGGTGATCACTGACGCTTTGGTTTCTCTTGACAGATTAAAAAGAAATGACACATCATCTCGTTTTCCCAATGGAGAATAATTATACCTTCCACAATTTCTATCAACTAAAGATATAAATTATATAAAAATGACAAATTTTTTATATTTTTATTTTATTATTTTCTTACCAAATTAATTTTTAGCATATGTTTGGATGATGATAATGTAATGAATGGTTATTTTTGTTGATATTTTTTGATGGTTATCATATAATTGATGGTTGCATTTGTTGTTAACAAATTTTTTTGAATGGTTATTATATAATCGATGGTTATTAGGCTTTTAATATGTAGTTGATATATGTAATATATGAGATATTTTTAGTTTTGGATTTTTTGATTTAATGGATTGGTTTAATAATGATATCAAAGTTGTTGCCATGTTTGACTTTTGAAAAATAGAAAATAATTTAATAAAAATAAATATCAGAAAAAAATATTTTAAAAAATTATTTCTACCATCCCAAAAGATAAAATTATATAAAAACGATGTGTTTATAATTTTTTTCACCAATTTATTATTTTTTAAAGAAATTTTTCTTAAAATAGATTCTGAAAAGCAAACCAAACAATATTTTACAACTAAGAAAGTTTTAGCATTATTTATTAAAAAAAGACTATTATATTTCAAATTACATACAAGTTAATCAATACAAAATAACCATTTAAAAAAAAGGGGGAAACTACATGCATGTGGGAGAAGGGAAAAAAAAATATCAACAATTAGAACCTTACATTTGCACCTCACCACAAACACACTTGCACACACCCTTATGTATTTGTAATTTTTTCCCCATTCTTTCATCTGTATGTAGTTCCAAAAAAAAATAATAATAATAACATAAAATAAATTGTATAACGACTTTGTCTTTGAAATTGACCATTTTCAAAGGAAAATTTTTTTATTGTCCTTATTTAAAATAAAATTTAAAATTTATAATCAAATATATCACAATTAAAAAGTCAAGATTTAAAGGAACATAAAGTCTTAAATTATATAGACTGTTAGTCTAATCCAGCCATCTTTTTATGGTTTGGCTTTAGAAACCTCTAAAGTTGATTATAAGAACTTAATTAGTAAATAGGTTTATTGTAGAGTAAAATTGAAAATATATGCTCCGAAAACTCCATTGTAAAAATTTAAGAAAAATTTGCTTATAAATTTCATATTGAGGAATGGTGATTCATTTAGTCTTAAATTTTTTTTATTGACCAATTAGTTTTATTGATTTTGGAAAGTTAAATTTAATATATTACTCAGAAATTGAGTTTACGGTTATACCTTTATTTCTATTTTTTTTTAAATTTTTTTTTTGTACTAAAAAGGTAAGATACACAACATATGAGAATTAAATTTGGGGTGAGTTTTTATATGAGATTTTTTTTTTTAATTTAGAATGACTTGAAATATGAGATTTTTCAAACATTTTAAAACGAGTACAAAAATGATTTGAAATATAAAATTCTTTAAACATTGCAAAAGGACATGAGATTCTTCAAACATTTCAAAAAAAGTAGAAAAATTCTTTAGTAAGTTTTAGACAAATGTATAATTTCAAACTATAACACTCCAATATTGATAAAAAAAAAAAATGTAACACTTAAACGTAACACTCTAATGTAACACTAAAACGTAACATTCTAATGTAACATTTAAAAAAAAACACCTCAGGGTACTATTCTCAAACATAACACTTCAATATAACAAACAAAAAAATTCCTTAATATATTTTTTTCAAATGTAACAATTCAAAAAAATATATGGGATTCTTCAAACTATTCTAAAAGGAGTACACAAATTCCTTAGTAAGTTTTGAACAAATGTATAATTTCAAACTTTGAGTGTTACGTTTATGAAAAGTACACTAAAAAGTTTTTTGGTGTTTTTTTGTATGTGTTACATTGGAGTGTTACGTTTGAAATTACATTAATTAGAGTGTTACGTTTAAGAAAAGTACACTAAGAAATTTTTTTTGTATATTACATTACAGTGCTACGTTTGAGAAAAATATACTAAGGAATTTTTTTTAGAAGGTTACGTTGTTACGCTTGAAAAAAATACACTCAGGAGTTTTTTTTATGTGTTACATTGAAGTGTTATGTTATTAGAGTATTACATTGGAGTGTTATGTTTTTTGTTCGTAATGTGGGATTTGTTCCAAAATAAGAAAAAAATTTAAAACCTTTACAGTGCGGATTGCCTAAATGTGTAATTTCACATTTAGAGAAATCCACTTTTAACCCTAAAAAATTAAACTCAAATGTGTAAGTGACTATACTTTTGTATAATTTTTACTTTAATGGGACCTTTGAATTAATGAGAAAAGGCCAAGTTTGGCATACCGAAAATAATTCATCTTTTTATCTTTTTATTTTTTTCCCAACACATCACCTCTCTACTTTTTTGCACATCTTTTCATAAAAAGACAAAAAGTACACTTATTTAGATCATTCCAAACAACCCCTAAATAGTTCAAAAGATTATATTTTGAAATTTATTAGTACTTTATCCAAAATTTAACTAGTAATATTATATCTTTGAAAAGTAAGAAAACTTAAATTAAATAAATTATTATTATTTAAAAAATTAAGCAATGATTATTTAAATATCAAAAGGCCTTTATTTGAAATTTTATTTGCGACTCCAAAAAAATTCACTGGTTCTATTTTATTTTTTTTTCCAAAAAGTGATTTGAAAACTCTATTTTGAAAAAGATTCTTTATTTGGTTTTCAAAAAATTGTATCATTGCAATTTTAAGTTTCCGTCTAATTCAAGGAAAGAGACAATTTTAAAAAAAAATTGTCACATCAAAAAATACTCTCATCTTAGTTTTTAAAAAACTTTGTCCGATTTTCAAAATAACCAAACAAAAACTCTCTCATTTTCAAAAAAAAAATGAGTTTAGAAAACAGAAACCAAACACAATGATTAATTTTTTTTATTGCACATAATGTTTTTTTAGTTTTCTCAATTTGAAAGTTGATATTTTAAAATTTTGAAAATCAAAATAAATGTGGGACTGGAGGGGGCATAATATTCGGGGGAGGAGGAGGCGAAGGCGGAGACGGCGGTCGGAGCTGGAGCTGTTGCTGCTGCTGTGACGAGCTGGCGGCAAGGCGATGACGGCGGGCGGCGAGGTTTGCAGCCCTCTTCTTCCTTCTTCTTCTTCTCTCTCTCTCTCCCTCTCCCTCTCCCTCTTCCCCCTGCGTTTCAGTTTCAGACTAAAAATTGAGGAAAAAAAGAAAGAAAGAAAGAAAAAAAAAACCTAATGCCCAAAACAACGTCGTTTTGGGCATTAGGGGGATTCGGGGGAGGAAATCTCGAGCTACCAAACATTATTCAAACATAATTTCTTTTGTAGGCCTTGTTTGACAAGTGGCTGTTTTAGCCTAAAAACTAAAAAGTTACTAAAAAAATAAAAAAGCCAACAACTTATACTAAAAATTCAAAAATTTCATTCTCTTTATTTTTTTGCATATTTTTTCATAAGAAGTCAAAAATTCATCCCAAACATACTAATTTTTTTTACCTCATATTTTAGCCAAAAAGTCAAAAAATTACGAAAATAGTCTGTTCCCAAACGAGGCCGTAGAATTAAAAAAAATTTCAACCACAAAAAACGTAATTTTTTTTTTCCAAATCGGCATTAAAAAATTTCATTCGTAGAATTAATTTTTCATAAATGTTATGTAGAAAATTGATTTACAAAGTCGCATTAAAAAAATCATAATTTTTGGAAATTTATTTACAATTTTGTATGTTTAAATTTACTTACAAAATCGTAAATTTATATTTAAATTTATGATTTACAAAATTTCAAAATTGTCTATCTGCTTAAATTGGAGGACAACTTCAATTTGAAAAATCCTCAACACATCATTTTCAAAATTGTCTCTCCTTAAAATCCTCGACATATCATTTTAAAAAGTAAACTCGATTTTCAAAATAACCAAACAAATACTCTAAAATTTTTAAAAACTGAATTTGAAAAATAACAACCAAAATAGTGTTTGGTCTCTGGCGAGAGGCTAGGCTAACAAGCTAAAAAAAAATTGACTTTTTAAATAAGATCCATAGTTATTTGGCAGTTGCTAAAACATATATTTTTTTTCTGAATTTTTGTCTTAATGAATTTTTTAAAATTATTTTTTTATTGTAGTTCTAATTTTAAAAAATCTAAAGAGTAATAGCATTTTAAAAAAATATTAAACACACAAAAAAAATTAAATTAACTAAAATTTTCAATATATTTTTTTAATTATAAAATTTGTCAAATGCATCATTTTTTATTTTATTTTTCCAAAACAACTTTATCCTTAAAAAATAATATAAACTATTAGGATGATTAATCCGTAACTCAGATTAACATCACGTAATATTTTATTGTAATATAATTAGTAGAGAAGATAAGACATTAATTATTTATGTGAAATGATTAAAGAATATGAAAAAGACTATTCTAGCCCTTAGCATTCTTTAGCTCATGCTTCTTTTTTGTTTGAGTACGTATTCCAAACATTCTATTAAATATTTTACTAAATCTCTTACATGACGTGGGACTCACATAAATTTACATGTATGTGATTCACACCTTATGAAAAATTTAATAGAATATTTGGGATTCCAACCTACCTCTTTTTATTTTTCTTGGCTGCCACGCGGATCGAACAACGACACGTGTAAGCCACTCCTCCTCTCATATCATTACTTTCTTTCACTTTTTCGAGGGCTTTTATTCGAATCGATATTTCTCTGGTAATTTCTTATTCTTTTTCCTTGATTTCGCACAAAAAAGATCGGATTTTTTTTTTTTGGATTTCTTCGCTTTATTATCACCAAGCATTGAATTCCCCAACTAATGAATGAAGACTCCGATAGTCAGAATCTTAATTCGGTGTGTTACATTTTCTCAGTAACCAAACAGACGATTGAATTTGCATTTCAAACTCTCTATTTATAATATTAGAATGTTATTGTCTGAATTCTGATGCCCTTTACTTAGACATGGAAGATTTGCCTTTTTGGGTTGTTTTAATGGAAATTGTTGAATTCATGGTGATTTGTAGCTTTTACTGTTGATTCCTTCTCTCTGTTTCTATATACATATGCTTGCATATGTGTGTGTGTGTGTGTTTGCAAAATGATGTCTTGTTAGTATTTTTATGCTAGTTTATACTGGTTGATGTCATGAAACTTAAGGCTCTGTTTGTTTATGGGTTGGTGTAGTGATTTGGAAAGGGAAGGGAAAGGGAAAAAGGTGAGTGAAATGTGAATGAAATATAGTTACATTTCACTCTCCTTTTCTCTTTCCAAATCCATGATCCAAAGGTATTAATTTTATTTATTTATTTACTTTTTGTTGAGTAAAAAGTAGTGTCTTAGACAACATTTATATTATTTACAAAATAAGGAAAAGGGATTGAGATCCTGAAATCTGTTAGCAGAGTAAAACAGGGTAGACACCAAAATACAATCGTTTCCAGGAGAGCAACAAAAGACTATCATCTAATCCAAGCATTTGGATCTTGTGTTGTGTCAAATAAATACCCAAACCCCAATCTGTAGAATTCCGTGTGTCTCTCTAATACTAAACCAAGCAATACAAGTCTCCTTGCAGTCCTAATGGGATAAACCAAGGTTTCTAGTGCAGTAATAGTTGACTTTCCCCAATTGAGGTATGATTGCCATTTATCCCTACTATCCCTACTATCATCATCAGTTTAGTTTTATTTGTAATAACATAGTGTATTTGAGCATCTGTGTATCAACTGTTGTAACATTTAAAAAAGAATTTCAGAGCTGCACTATCATTTTTAAATGTGATTTTGTTGCATGGAAATTGAGTCGATAACCAATGATGTGATTTGAGAAATCAAAATTTTTTGAATTTTGATGATTAAGTTGTCCTTTTCTATTTGTCTTTAGTGATTTTGGTAAAATCCTTCTATGACAAATATGTTTCTGGATAAACTTGTACCAAATAAACTACGTTAAAGGAGGTAAAGGTTAATTCTTAACTTTAAGGTCTTATAAAGCAATTTGTGTGATGGAATGGTTGACATTTTTTAGAATGCGGCACAGTTTTCATCGTGCAAGCAGACCTTGCTTTACTTCCCAGGCCTCCCTTTGGCTATTTTCTAACTTCAGTAAATTTTTCCTAATTGGGAACTGGGTTTTATCCCATACCTTCCACCTGGAAACCTCTCTGGGATATCACTTCAACTTATTTATCCGTGCCATTTTGTGCAGAAGCTACTGGCGAAGTATGATGCTAGCACCGCAACAAAAAATCTTTAACATTATACGTCTTACCTGATCTAATCTTGAAATATTTGATTAATGTTGGCATCTATCATCTGAGTAATTTTCAGTTTGCTAAACTGATTTTACTTTTCAGAAGTGTAATAATGTTTGTTGTTTTCTTTTGTTGAATATATGTGTGTATTCTTTTTACTTTCTTAAGGTTGTTTTACTGAACATTTTATCATGACCTTCGAAAGACTGAAGGCAACTTATTACTGAATTTCAGAACTAGCTACTATACCAAGTTCAGCATCCTGGTGTCTCAGTATGAGTGTAGCTGCTTCTGAAAGAATATGCCTCTGCGGATTATTTCCAGTTCTTCTCTTTTGATCGCTCCTGCATAAGTGTGTGTCAATACTTTCAGTCTCCTATTTTCTGTTCTGCACGAAACAAAACATGAGTGGCATGGACCACTCTTTCTGTGGTAATAAAACAAAGAAACAAGAAAACCTTAAAAATAAGGAGGCCATGCCGGGGAGTGAACTCTGGACTGATGGACTAATTTGTGCTTTTGAACATGTTCGAATGCATAAGAAATCTGTAAGGCCAAGATCTTATTCGAAGACCCATTCTTCGGATGGTGAGAACATAAAGAAACAAGTGCCTACCGATGTAGCAACTGAGGCTTCTTCTCCAAAAGCAAATGAGAACAATTTAATGGAATCCACATCTCTTGTTGAGTTGGGGGATGATCACATTGCTCCTTTCGATGATGATACAGATTGCCAGCCACCTCAATCAGACCATTTGCATAGTGTGGACAGACTTTCAGGAAATCATTGGGTTCCAATTGGGTGGGCTAGGATTTCTGAACTAGTCCAAACAGTTGATATCGGCTGGGACTCACACCAGCTTGATATCATGGTTGATGAAGATGACTTAACTGTTGCAGATTTAGCAGCTCCTTACTGGGAGAGGCCAGGTGGGCCTAGATGGTGGTGCCATGTTGTCGCAGGTCACCCATTTGTTGATGTGTGGCTCAGAAATGCTCAGTGGTTGCATCCGGCCATTAGTATTGCTTTGAGAGATGAAAGTCGACTGATAAGTGATCGGATGAAACACCTCCTGTACGAGGTAATTGCTTGTTTAGCTTCTGATCTTACTAGCTTATTTGGTTGATCGTGCTTCATGAATGATATGATAGACATAATCTAATAATTTAGGAGATAAGGATTCTATAATGCAAGTGCTGTGTGCATACTGGATAGAATCTCAGTATGGATCCCAACAGATCTCATGTGTGATGATGTAAAAAGACAACACAACACAACACTACAAGTTGAGAGCTTGTTTGGAATGCAGCTAAAAAGGCTGCTTTTTGGCTAATAATTAAAAAAAAAATTCCAAAAGGCAACTCAACTTTTCCATTCACAAAAAAATAACGGGTTCGTTTGGTTTGCATTTCTAAAAAATTTTTAGGAAATTTTCTCTACAAATAAGTTTTTAAAAGTAATCAAACCAAACAAATTTTCTCAAAAAAATTTCTCAAAACTTGTAAACCAAACAAGTTTTCCAAACAAATCTCTCTCTCACACACATCAAATCAATCACTTTTTCCAAAACTCTCTCTCAAAATAATTTTTCAAAACATTTTTGAAAAAAACCAAACCAAACAATTTTTCGTACTTTTTATCTCTAAAACACATCTCTCAAACACAAACCAAACATACCCAACATTTTTAGCCACTTCCCAAACACATTTTTAGCTTCTAAAAAACAAAAGCTGCTAAAAAGTCAGTACCGAACAACCTTTGAGGGCTGGTTAGATTTATTAAAATTTTATGGCATGTTCAAGTCTATGTTTTTTAATAGACTCTTTAAAAGGCTCAATATATTTGTTGACTCAAATAAAATTGAATCAAACTTCCCAGAAAGGAGGGATCTTCTTGTTATTTCAAATTGGGGTGCAAATTAGTGCTCACTGCTCAGCTTAGCTGAGAGTGGAGGAGTTTGCACTCAGTAGTAGCTTAGCAGCTGTGCAGTTTCTGGGAGAGAAACTTGCTGGACTTTAAAGTTTTAACCACTCAAGTCGAGCTCAACTTGTTATGTTTGGTGAGGTCTACAGTCAAGATTGGCTTGGCTTATTGTAAGGACTGTGGAAAATCCCCAGTTATCCAGCTGGTTTTGCAAAACCACTGTGCTAGTTGGCCACATGTAAAGTTCCTATTGATTAGATTCATAGATTCATAATCATTACATGTGTACCTAGAAGTGCTCACTCATTCCACTCATTCCACTCATCCTAACACTCTTGATTTGTTGGACCAACATTAGGTAGCAACTTTATTTGGGTCTGTGAGATTTTGTGTTGTTAGTGAACTGATGCTTGAAAGACTCTCTCTGTACTAATTTCATTAGCAACTATATCACTTCTCAACCTATATTTTTATGAAGAAAATGAATCCTGATCATTACATTACCAGGGGTTGGGTGGGTTCAAGATTATGCAAAATTCACTTTAGGTTGCTCCATAGTTCATGGAATTTGTAATAATTGTAAAACTAATATAATGGAAAAGAATGAAAATTGGCTTACCCATGAATGAGGTAGAGACCATGTATATATAATAGATTCATGATACAATTTAAAAAATGATATAAATAAGGAAACAATTCTAAATCAGTGATTGATACAATCACAGATTATATACATAATAATAAAAATAAAAGATTCTATGTATTCTAATTTCTATATTCAATATTTCCCCTCAAGTTGGTGTGAAGATATTCAACAATCGCAGCTTGTCAATGGATGGCTGTAAGAAGCGGGAAAAAACTCAACGGCTAGTCTAAATAAATGCTACTGAACAAATCTAGTAGTCCACTAAATAAAAAAAGCCAAAAAAGTGCTTAATACATTAGCACCACACCCTAGAAAGAAAAAGAAAAAAAAACAAGGATTGAAGTGCCCTAGAAGAAACTAATCGGAATCAATGTCGGGACAGTTTAAAAGGGTCATGCCGGACCGTTGCAGGTTGTGACGGGGTCATGTCGGACCATTGTAGGAATTAACCGAAATCAATGTCGAGATAGTTTAAGGGGTCATGTCGGACCATTGTAGAGACTAACTGGATGTTGAACCAACAAATGTGGCACACACATAACTTATGACGTGGTGCTAAATAATGATGGCAATAGATGATTGAGTGTGCCAAGGGGCAGCTTATTAAAAAGTGTGCCCGAGGGGGGGGCAGCTTAGGTGGTGCGCCAAGGGGGCGACTTGGATTGTGCGCCAGAAGGGGTGACTTGGGTTGTGCGCCAAATAGGGCGGCTTAGGTGGTTCACATGGTATATCACCATGCTCACCATGATATAGGTGTAATACCCTCCTCAAACTCAAATTAGTTTGAAGATAGAAACTTATTTGAGGTTAAAGTAGAGGGAAAGACAAAGTGGAGCAAAAACACACAAAAAAATAGATTGCGAGTAAACAAAAATATGATAGAGATATTTGAGATCTGAATAAACTAGTGGATAGAGGAAGAGATCACCACGAAGTGATACTGAAAAAAAATATAACAGTGGAATGGGTTGTTGTCTGGCGGGTAGCCAAGGCAAGGCTGCCGCCTGCCGCCTGCCGATGAAGCAAAATTACTAGGTACTTAACCTAGTTTTGATACCAAAAAGAATGAAAAGAATTATTTGGCTTATCTGTGAATGAGGTAGAGACCATGTATATATAATAGATTCATGATACAATTTAAGAAACGATATAAATAAAGAAACAATACTAAATCAGTAATTGACACAATCACAGATTATATACATAATACTAAAAATAAAAAGATTCTATGTACTCTAATTTCTATATTCAACAAATGGTTCCATATTTGAGTGAACATTAAGTGCTAATCCATGTTACCTTGTGTGCTGCTTGGTGCCAATACAAAATTGAAAGAGCAGGATTGCTTGGAACCCACCGTTGTTTCATGCCATGATAACTCAGCTACATCTTTGTGGTGCATCTGTCCTTTTCAGACTTCTATTAATAAAAAAATAAACTTTTTAACTACTCTTCGTAGTACTTCTGAGTATCATGAAAGCCAATTGATATAAACTACTACATGTAGCAGAAGGAATGCAACATATTCATAAATCTTAGACATCAGAGCTTTGACCATTAAATATGATGGGGACATGCTGGTTGTATCATGGTGCAATATTTGCTTCGTTTTGTATTAAGATAATTTGGATTTGTCAATGGTGGTATGAGACCAAAAAAGGAAAGCAGATGAACCGTATTTTTTCTCTGATCTATCTTTGTATACAAAAGGCAAAGAGTTGACAGAGGATGCATGTAGAAGTTTTAGTATTTTGACTGAATGTTGATACTTATGATGAGGAACTGTGACAGAGCTGTATTTTGACTGAAGGTTTCAGTATTTGCTTTTTGCTTTTTGCTTTCTGGTTCTGTCTTGGAAGTAAAAGATCACTGTGTATTGCATGAATAAGTTTTAGTTCATTTTGTGTTTCTCTTTTCATTAAAATACAGGGTTCAGGCCAATTATATTTGGTTGTGTCCCTTTAATTATAATGAAATAGATGGAAAAGGTAATGTTTTCAACTCTATATGAATTGTGTATTATTGGAATGTTGATTATGGTTTATGTCTTATATAGGTCCCAGTTAGGGTTGCTGGAGGGCTATTGTTTGAACTATTGGGTCAATCAGTTGGTGATCCGACTGTTAATGAAGATGACATCCCCATTGTGCTTCGTTCTTGGCAAGCACAAAACTTCCTAGTAACTGTTTTGCATGTCAAAGGAGCTGCATCAAGCATTAATGTGTTGGGTATCACAGAAGTTCAGGTATAAATGCGAAGAATCCTTCCAGTGAAATTTAAAAAAATTATTTCGATTCCCAATACTCATGATAATGTTTGTGATGGATAGAAAACTCAAATTCAACCATCTATAGAGACAGTTAGGATAAATACCTCAAACGCAAAATCCATTTCCACACTTGATCCATAGAGTCCACAAGTTTTTCTAGGGAGTGTAGGAGAGGAAATCTCTAAGTGCTAGCTCTTATGAAGAATCTCTTATTTATAGAACTAGTGTTAAAACCTATCACCTACTTCACCCACTTAAACCTACTCCACTAAACCTAACCCACTACACCACTACCACCTCACCTACTCCACTAAACCTAACCCACTACACCACTACCACCTCCACTTCACCTACTCCTTACCTACTACACACTCACCCTTTTCTATATATAGGAATCATGAATCATTGTAATAGAAATCAATATAAATCAATCAATAATACATACAATTTATTCTCTCTCTATTTCTTTTTATACATTAAATTTTACAGTCTAGTTGCGTGGATAATTTTTTAGGTGACATGAGTGCAAATACTAGTTTTCAGTTAATGAATGTTGGGAAAATTGCTTTTCAGTTGGACAGTGGGAAAATAATCTCATTTTCATGGTAGTGCAAGTCTCTTGTTGCAGTAGTAAAGAGATGCGATGCTGTAATGGTAGATGGAAGTGTTAGGGGACGGGGTAGGCCTAGATTAACGTTGACTAGCATTATAAATAGAGATATGAATCTACTTAATTTGACTAATGAAATGGCCTTTGATAGGGCCGCGTGGAGAAGAAGGATTCATGTAGCGGACCCCATTTGATGGAACTTAAGGCTTGGTTTGGTTTGATTTGGTTTGCAAGTCTCTTGTGTGTATTGTGTGTACAGTGCAATCCTTTTTTGTGTTTGGTGCTAGTCTTTGTTGTGTCCTATGAAGCACTGACACTTCAAAACAAGTGCCGTATCTGTGTCGGACACACAGACACTTTGGGGACACGTATGAGACACGCCACATGACTTTTCCCTTTATTGAATTAATTTATTTTCAAGGGATACGCCGGGGACACTTCGGGAACACACTAGGGATATGCCAAGTAATCTTTTCCCCTATTTTTTTTAGTGTTTTTGATGAATGTTGAATGTTTATTATTTTTTTTCTTAGATTTAAATATTTAATAGATCATCTATAAAAAAATATATAAACTGTTTATAAGTGCTTTTTTTAAAATAAAAAATATATATAGAATTAGAGTTATTTTTTTGTTAATATTGATTGTTTGTGGATGTAATATTAATCTAAATAGTAAATAAAAATATAAGAAAACATATTTTATTGCCGTGTCCGTGTCCTCATTTTTTTGAAATCGATTGTCCATGTCCGCATCCGTATCCGTGTTTGTACTTCTTAGGTTGTGCCAGACTTGCACCAAAAAAGCTTCCACCTATAGTGCAATTATTTTAAGACTATCCCACTTATTTTTATTTTCAGCATAAATGTTCTGCTGGAAGGTGGTTGTTTTTTTTTTGTGATTGTAGCTTCTGAACCTTATAGTGAAATGATTTTAACAGAGTTGGCAAGGCTTTTTCTGTCTTGTATTTGGGAAAACCCAAGTTTGGTACCTTGCGATCGTCAAATATCATAGGAGGTACTACTGGATTGATAGATATAAAAAATATGTTTGGATTTGTTCAAAGAAAGTGCATGTGGATATAAAGATTCCATCTTTCTAGGTCAGTTGATATAGAAAGTTCTTAGGAAAGTTTGATTGTAAGAGTGACGGGATAATCTTTTTGTGTTACTCCACAAATAGTGGAGCTTGTAGGGTTTATTGTGAAGCAGTATGAAAGTAATGTGCAACATATAAGTGTGAGGACACCCTCACCATAACAGTTAGCTTTTGGAATTGAGTTCTACCCAAGACTTTGTAACATGTAATCAGAGTCGGAGCAGCCATGGATGGGTAGGGTGCATATCTCTAGCCTGCACGCGGAAAGCGCTGCTGGGTGAGCATGTTGCACGTGAGGGACAGTCTGAGTGTGAGATGAAGTCTCACATCTCCTAGATACGAAAGTAATGTGCAATTATTAGTGTGAGGGCACCTTCACCTTAACAACTAGCTGTTGAGGTTGAGTTCTACCTGAGACTAACATGTATATCTTTGGAACTTCTACCATTATGGTGGTTGATGATACATGAACTATAAAATCTTTTTGTTAAGTAAACTGCTGCATGTAGCATTGAAATCATGATATTTTAGCTGATATGTTGAATCCCCGATTGTCCCCAAAGTTTAAGTTATTAGGAAATGAGTCCAACAATGTACAACTGCAGGATATGATTGTATGATAGGGTAGTTTGATATAGTTCTAAAGTTCCTTATTTTGGTGTGTTTTATTGTTATCCTTTGTTGTTGTATGGAATCCTATGAGATTTTATTCGGCTCTGAGCTGACAATGCTGTAAACATTCATTTGTTAATGTTTGACATAAATAAATAAACTACACATTTTTTATTTCTCATCTGTATTTAACGATGTACTTAATTATCATTTCTGTGGTTTCAGCTTGCACTACCATAGAGTTTCTTCATTCAGTAATTTCTAAAATCAGATCTTTTTATTTATTTATTTATTTTTATGTTAAGATTATTCCGGAGGTCTATATTTGGGGTAGCTGATGAAGTGGAGTTGAAGTTTATGAACAGGTACTTCAATGCACACAGCCACAGACGTTTCTTCCATTATGAATTGTTATTCTTAACAAGTTCCCATAAACTTCATTTTAACGAATATTCTTCTTGGTGAATAGGAGGACCCAAGAAGATATGAATCTTTTCACTATAATTCTGAACCAAGAAATCAGAAGGTTATCGAGAGAGGTATTACACTTCATCGTGATAAAATGTCATTACTTTTCCATAAAAAGCCACTATCGGTGTTATCAACTGAACGAACATGAAGTAGGATTGAAATGATATCTGAAACATGAGTAATGTGTGATCAAGAAACTTTTTTGTTCCTAAAATCAGGCCTAATTTCACTTTCGTTCTGCACATATCAGTTGTACTTGCCTATCTCAGTTAAAAAAAGAAGAAGAAAAAAAGAAGAAAAGTATCTCAATTGATATGAGGATGCCATCTAGACAAAGCTTGGATAAACCATGCCAAGTCAGCTCTATCACTTTAAAATGACATAATATGGTTGTAAGTAAACATCAACACTCTGTAATAGATTAGCAAGGCTTTTAATAGTAATTGAAATTTGTATGGACTGCTTACTAACACACTTATTTGTCTTTTCTTCTTCTTCTTCTTCTTATTTTAACAAAAGAAAAAGGAGAAGAAATATAAGTTTGAATTGGTTTCATACTTATTATGCAGGTCATACGAGTGAAATGGTCACTCCATGCAAGAGAGGAGATTGTTTTTGAGCTTCTCCAACACTTAAGGGGCAATGCGACTAAAAGTTTGCTGGAGGTAATACAAAAAAGTACAAGGGAAATGATTCAGGAGCAAGAAGCAGTTCGCGACCGCTTATTTAACATTCAAGATGTCATGCAAGGCACTGTGCGTGCTTGGTTACAGGTTTGACTTTTAAAATTTTCATACGAGAAAATGTGATTTTTCAGTCCCATGCATAGACATTTTATTTATGCTTGTTCCCAAGTGTTGCTTTTTAGCTAAATTATGGCTTTGGCATCTCATGGCTCTAATTCTTTTACTGAAAGATTTGGTTCCATCTCGCTTCTTTTCGTCTTTTCAGCTTTGCAACTTGCTGATTTCTTTACGAAAACTCATACTATTGCTTGATTTCAGTTTTTTCTTGGCAAACTCTCAGTATTTTTTGCTAAAACACGTTGAGTTTGAGCGGAGGTGTGAGCATATTATGTAATTATGGAAATATATCCATTAGGTTATTTGTGAATATTCGATTGATTGTAAATTAATTGTATAGGGTTATTTTCTATTATAAATTAGGTTTAGGATTGCTATAAATATTGGTTGTAATCTTTGTATTACGTACAATTGAATATACAGACTTTATTCAGAACTCTTGCACCTACATCAATTATTTTACTAGTTTAGTAAAGATTAGTTTGGTTAACTCCTCACTTTTTTATTTTTTATTTTAATGTCAGGATAGAAGCCTTCGAGTGACCCATAATTTGGCCGTCTTTGGGGGATGCGGCCTTGTTCTGTCCATCTTCACCGGGCTATTTGGAATCAACGTTGATGGGATCCCTGGATCCGGGAACACCCCATACGCATTTGGTCTTTTTACAGCCATCTTGTTTCTCTTGGGAATCGGGCTAATTGCACTTGGAATACTCTACCTTGGGTTAAAGCAACCCATCACTGATGAGCAGGTTGAAGTTAGGAAGTTAGAGCTGCAAGAGTTAGTCAAGATGTTCCAACATGAAGCGGAAACTCATGCCCAAGTTCGCAAAAACTTTTCTCGGAACAACTTACCCCCGACTTCAGCTGGTAAGTTATTGGATGACGCGGATTACATTCTCATCCACTGACAATTTTGTGTAGTCAGCTAAGTGTGTTGAACCATCCAATACAAGTGTGAGGTGAGTATGATTAGCTTCTTACTTTTACTTTGTCTTTTGCCAATACCTGCGACCGATAGTTTTATGTGTACAAATGCTAACATCAATTTTGTTTTTGGAGGATAATTTTAATCTCTTTATGTACCCAAATAGCCAAGAAAATGCCTTATTTTTACTAGTTTAGAGCACAAAGTGGCTGCATTGTGATTATGATACATTTGTGTAGTGTATTAAGATCTTAGAAACAGGAATTTACAATTCCTTCTTCACAATGATGGTTTTTTTTTTTTTTTTTTTTAAATTTTTTTTTTTTTTTTTTTAAATAAAAAAATTTCCCCTCAGCCAAAGGCTAGGAGGGTGGAGATCTGAGTTTAAAGGCTAAACAAAGTCAGAAAACATTAGCATAGCACACCATTGAAATGGAAATCTTTTCTCAATTCATGAAAATGGAAAGCATCAAAATTCTTGATGTTTAATGTACCTGTAGGCCTTCCCTTTTTTTTTTTGTGGCTTAAAATATTGTCCAATAGATAACTTTTTCCAAAAAAAAAAAATGTAGTGTTCGGTAGAGTTTTAGAATTTTGATTTGGGAATAGAGTTGTATTTTGAGTTTGTGCGTTTTGGAATTATGATTTGAGTGTGGAAAATTTGTTTGGTTATGAGTTTTGAAAACTGTTTTAAATTGAGTTTAGAATTTTTGGTGTGAAATATAATATTTGATTCAAAAACTTACAATTCAAAATTCTATTCAAAACTTGTAATTTTTTTTAAAAAATTCAAAAATATTTTTTATTTAAAATATAAGAAATAACAAGTGCCAATTGTCAAAAAAAACCAAAAAAAACAAAAATCAAAAAAAAAAAATAGCATTGTTTCGGTCAACTGAGAGGACGACCGGGTCCAAATTTCAAAATTCAAAAATCTGCCTGGAATGAGTTTTCAAAAGTAGGTGTGGAATAAGTTGTATCAAAACACCACACTTAAATATGGTTGTGGAGTCATGATTAGAACTCTACACCAAATATGGAGAATTGTTTTTCCATCTTGGTGATTGTAGTAGTGTGATGACATTGATAAAATTTTAATTAAGAAATATTTTTTATATCTTAGTTCGTAATAGTGTGATGATATTGATAAGATTTTAATTTTAAAATATTTTTTATATTTCATATGCAGGGATAATTTTATCCTATGGATGAGACAACTCATTCAAAGATTATGATTAATGTTACAAAGTTAATAAAATAACCATCATTACAACGTATGCAATAACTTATCTCACATTCATTATGGAATAACTTATTCACATTATTCTGTTCAAAAATCAAACATAATCTTAATTAATATATTGAATTTGTGGATGCTCAAGAGCATTGCCGCATCTGGACCCAAACAACACTAACCTTAAAGTCGTATTTGAATTATGGATTTAAGTAAAAATTAAAAAAAGAGAAGAAAAAATATTAGTGAAATACGAATGAAATAAAAATTCAATTTTTTCTCTATTTTACTTTTTCTTTTCAAATCTCTGTTCAGATTGACCATCCAATCACAACATAAAGGAATGCAATTGAATGGAACTTGAAGATGTATTGTAGCCACACTCCCAAAATTTGAATACTTCAAATCTCAAAACCATAGCCACCATTTTCTCTATTAAATCACCATTGTATATCTCATTCCATTTCCAAATCTCTGGTTCCTACCGACAAAAACAAGCAAACATGGCAAAAGCTAACACCCAAGGAACAAAAAATGAAGCTTTTGGCAGTGCAAATGGACGTATCATCCACTCAAAATAAGTCCATTGAAGCAAAATCAATGGCTATAATTCAGTACAACCAAGTAAATAACATTTGAGAGTCCCAAGTTGCTCCTCTTGTGTTACTTTAAGGCATGTCATTTAAGCAAGGATCTTGTAAGATGTTCACGTGCAGTCGCCAATGCTTGGCTTATGGTCTGTTAAAAAACAAAGCTCACAAGTTAAAAGCACATAGAAGCTATTGGTTGTCAAAATAATGATACTGTACTTCGACATAGCAGTTGTTTTCCCTTTTTTTTTTTTAAACATTTATTCCACATTTACAATTGGACGCAGTTGGAAGAAACAGAGATCAAATACCTGCTCGGACAAAGGTGCACCAGAATCGATACTATTTGTTGCAACCTTCCCCGCTATTACATTTGCATCAGTTTCAAGAACAATTCTGTATAAAAATTGTACCGTAAATACGAGTATTAAGAAAAGTACAAGCAGTAATACATTTTCTCCGTTGTGAGACTAACAAAAGCAAGAAAATAACAGTAGGGTTTCATAATCCAATTGGAGAGTTGCTTAGAAATTGAAGACAACCACACTATGAAATGTGAAATTATCACAAATTTGCCAATATAAATAAGCAATAAATTGTGTTCGATAAAAATCTGTAGATAAAACTGTCGATTTTCACCCTAAGAAAAAGTGACATGTTAAAGATCCAGTTTTGTTTTAATTGAAAATCAAAAATTTTGGGGAGTTGTGAATTTTGACAGTGCTAACTAATGGCCACTAATAATTTGGAGTATCAATCTCCAATAACTTTGACTAGTCCATGTAGTCAGCATCGGAAATCAGCAACTTCCAACTTGGATGCATTCCTAATGTTCAAAGATCCACAAACTTCTTTCCTCTGACTGCACCTTCCCAACTATCATGTACTCTTAACAAGTTCAGTTAGAACTTCATTTAAATCCAATATTGCAAAATTTTAAAACTATATGACATAAGATTCTAAAAACCTTTGCTTCTTCACAATAAATATCAGAGGCATTGTTTGATAACACTGCAAACAAAGGAATCAATGTACAGCATTCCAATTTAAGACAACAAAAGGTTAACTAACATATGAATTACACAAGAAGAATGTTGCATACCCGCCATCAATAATTTCATCAAGGCATAAAAGAATGAGATCTAAGTTCTCAAGTGCCTCCTTCTTGTCCACATTGCCCCTAGAATTAAACATGCCAGAATGAACAAAGTTTTACTGAAGTAAAAATTATCTAAATCTTATTTTTATTATTTATTTATCAGTACAATATTGACTTTTGAACTGCAATTAAAAAACCAAAACGAATAGTGAGTATTATCACAAGATACCTCAGGAGAAGACCAACTGCATCAAAAAACCCTTGAAGAACAATGGACAAGATGAGCTCATTTTCATCATCACCGCCAGTAACAAAGAAGTGAAGGTCTTGAACAAACTTGTAAACAACAATGTTGTTTTCAAACATCGTAATCTCCGCTGCAAATGAAATAACAATGATATTAAAATGCAGGAAAGTCCATGTTGAACATTTTAACCCACAATGTCTTTTCAATATTTAATACCAAAGGTACTTTAATAGGAAAGTCCACTCTGGATTTTTTTTTAAAATCTGACAAACAACACACACACACAGAGATACAGACACACACGCATTTCCAGTGCTTGTAAAACTTGCTGAAGAATGAGATAAAAACATGTATCAAGCAAGCACCACTCAAATTGATGATACTAGAAAGAATCTAATAAGTACTGAAAGCACAAACAGAAAGAAATATCTCAAAAGGGACTTCAAAGAAATAAGTACCTTCTGTTCGGGCATTTGTCTTTTGTGTCTTGGTAAATACAGTTTTCTCAAAAGCTTCCTTTGCATTGTTTGTTGGCCAGTCATCTGAATAATACTTAACAGCAACACGTTTCCCTTCCGAATCCAGAAGAAGAATGTTTTTTACTTTAGGGCATGACTCCTTTAAACATGGAGAACAAAGTAGATATCAGACATGAAATTTAACAACAAATGACGGGAAAAAATAAGAAGAAGAAAGAATTATCAAATCATAATAATAGCCCCTTAAACATTAAAAATTACACAACATTCCCCATCTCATAATTTAAAGTTTAGTCAAATCCTTCTTAAATTGGCTTAAAAATCCTCCACTTGGGAACTGAACATTAACATTGATCACAATTGGTTTCAGCTCACTTGCCCACAGTTTGCTACATCTTTTTATTAGATCGGAAATTGTTAAACCAAATATTGGCTAGTTGCTATAAGTCATCAACGCTTATGAAGTTAAATATCATAAATTTTTTATTGTCTTACCCTCGTACACACACGCATGTACATACAAACAAGTTTCCATACATGCATATTGATGCATGAGCACTCATCATATCTATGTATCCGTGTCTATATATGTTTCTATATTCCTGTTGAATTGGTGTTGGTGATCACCTGGGTCCTCACCACCATTTCCTTTAAGCTAATACCAGGTCTTATCAAGGTCAATTAGAATATAGCAATGCAATTAATTAGAATATGACAGTGCTATCCAGTAAAGAACAAAAAAAATGTCACTAAAAATACCTGTGCATGTTGAAATATTATGTTTTCAATTTCATGGCATGATTCACATACCACTTCAAAATCAAACATCAACAAACAACACAACGCAGCCAGCATGCGTGTTCCAAAGAAGGCAAATTATCAAATTTGCAATCAAAATATCAACAACTTACAATTTCTTCACAACCGTTAGATCCAAGGGCTGAACCACATACATACACGACTTACAAAAACCTCATTAATTTGTATATCCTATGTAAAAACTCTTTATTCTCGTTATGCTGACACTCCAAATGTTAGGTAATTGTGATAAAGTATGATTGAAAGTGGTCATGGAAGAAGAAGAGATCCATACATTTTTTTGTTCTTTTTATTATTTGATTTTCTTGGAACAAGAAAGTTTCTCCGGTTAAATTCAACTTCATCGAAACCAATAAAAAGGAGATGACGTATAATCCATAGAGAGTTTGTGCTGGTTCTTTTCCACCGTTGGATTTCCTTCGGTACATTTCTAAAAGACAATTTGATTGGTTATTTTGAAATCACACATGAATTGTTCATAGTAAAAATCAACTATCCAACACATATTCACCAACTGAACACATATGTGTTAGGCTATTGGTCAAAGCTTACACTTTTTTTCCTTGCAAGCCACCACATTTGTTTACCATTTCATAGTCTTTGTATTGCGATTTTTTATTCTTTTCAAAATTTAAATATTTGATGGAACTGAGTCGGAGTTGAGCTAACATTGTTTAAATTTTCATCAATTTGCCTATACAACTATACATAACTGTTGATTATTACTTTTTTTTTTAATAAAAAAATTTAAAAATTTGTGTTGTAATTTGTTATGTGATGAAATTGATACAGAACGGACCCATGCTTAGATCCAAGTCCAATTGTAATAAAAACAAATACAGATCCATGTCACATATACACATATATGGCCAAAACATAGCCGATCGCATTTCTTCAACCAATGAAACCGTTACTAAATTACAATCTCATATCAATACCAAACAAATCTAATAAACCCTAGAATTCACAATTCTCAGTGCTATAAACAAATCAAAAACGGTTTGAACTTAAAAAAATCAATGATGTATCAAATGAACGAAGATCAGAAATAGTAAACTCATAAAGCTAGCATGGAACAATCCAAATATGAAGTAAATCGAGAGATTATTGCAGATTGTATGTGAAGTGATTGATTTAGAGAGAGGAAAGTTGAAAATTCGGGAGAAAGCTGACCATTCTGTTCGATTGTGGGAAAAAAAATCTTCTGACAGTGCGTTGGAAGAGTGTAGATCGATTCAACCTTTGGAACAGAGCGAGAGAGAAACGGCGAGAAAGTAAGAGAAAATATAGGAAAATTAAACCCCCGAAAACAAATGTGTTTTCAATAAATTACACTTTTGATCCCAAAATTTAGTATTTTTCACTTCTACTACAAAGTTTTAGCAAATTATTTCTTGCACTAAGACCCCTCCAACTAGGGCCGTACAAAATACTGCTCAATCGACTAAAACTACACCGATTTGCATCAATTCACACCGCGTATTCGCTAATTGTGATGTAAACTTTAAAATTTATAATCCGCTTTTGAAACCGTTCCGCTCTATTATAATTAATACATATATATTTTTAATCTATAATGAAATATCAAAAAATAAATAAATGTGATAGAGATTTAATATGTGAAATTTATTACAAAATAATAGTTATATATATGAAAAATATTATATAAATTAGTGTTATATATTATGTAAAGATTTGATAGTTGGTTTGAATATTTTTCAGTCTGTCAATCTATCCAAAATCTCTCAAACCACAATTTGTCAATCTGCTATTCGATTTATAATTTTACTAGCATATGTCCGTGTCTGAAGGTACGGTATAAATAATGTTTTGATTAGAATATAATTGTAATCCCAACACTATTTAATTTTTTTTTTTAATTTGATAAAATCATAAATTTGTTATAACATTTTAGAATTCTCACAAACCTCCTCACAAAAACTTACTTTTGCTTTTATAATGCATAGCTAGATAGATAGATGTACCTAGCATACATACAATTTCCACTAGGACTGAACAAGAAATCCGTGAAATCCGTAATCCGATCCGATCCAGTCCAGTCCAATCCGATAGGTTTGGATTGGTTTTTGAATCCGTGGTTCGGTTCTAAATTAAAGAATTAAAAATCCGTAGTCCACGGATTGGTTCCGGATTGAATCCCACGGTTTCGGATTGGAACCGATCCAGACCGTATACAAATAGTCTATATTTTTATTATACATCATCCTCCATTGTATCTTCTCTTATTTTATATAAAATCTAAACTCAAACCTAAACCCGTATAATATATTCTTTTATTACTTTTGTTTGTTAGTTTTTAGTTTTAATTTATAATTGTCTAAATGCTTATGGTGAAACCAGTTTTTCATGGTTGTTTAAATTCTAGAATAGTACGTCGCTATTATAGAAAAACATATCACTATTGTGGAACTAATATAGCGCTATATTTATGTTTTTATTAAATTAAAGTGTTTTATATATATTTTTTTGTTAGTTAATTATGTGAATCCGTGGTTCTGAACCAATCCAATCCGTGTTTAAATGGTTTGGTTCGGATTGGTTCCATGATTTAAACGGATTTGATTGATTCTAATTTTTCAAGAACCGTATATAACGGATTGGTCCTGGTTTTACCCTATTCCGATCCAATCCGGACCATACTTACCCCTAATTTTCACAGGCATACATACAATTCTGCTTTTCTTCATCAAATTATATGAAAATTGTATGTACAAATGTCCTAGTGTATTACGGGCATATATATATTGTATGGAAATATATGTAAAATATATTGAACAAAAATGAGAAAATAAAAAAAATTAAACAAATAGAGAGAAAAATAAAAAGAAAAGAGAAAGGAAGGCGGAATCATGAGATTATGGAATGAGAGGTGTGAGAAAAGGAAAAAGTAAGAGAGAGAGAGAGAGAGAGAAGCAGAAAAATAGAAAATGTACATGTAGGATATTTTTTGAAAAATATATCTCAGCCGTTGTTTTATAATTTGAATAGATCTAAGCCGTCCAAATGTCCTAATAGGACAAATGTGTGTAGGACAAATTCAAAAAACATTCTGCTTTATTATATAGATATTGAAGATTCATATGAGGTCTAAATTTGCGAAGTCTATCGACGTATTCAATATATTTAAAAATAATAATTAATTGTTCAAATTCATTTAATTTGTGAACTATAAAATTTATTAATTTAATCTCCACTACATACAGTAAAATCTGACTCCTAATTCTGGGATCGCAGACTTTTTCATATAATATTAATAAAAATAAGTGAACAAAAAGGAGAAAATAAAAAAAAAACTAATAGAGAGAAAAATAAAAATAGGAGAAAATAAAATAAAAATAAAAAGAAAGAGAGAGGAATGTGGAATCATGGGATCATGGAATGATGGGTGAGAAAAAGAAAAAGTAAGAGAGAGAAGCGGGAAAATAGAAAATATACATGTAGGATATTTTTTTAAAAATATATCTCAACCATTGTTTTTTAAGTTAAATAGATTTAAGCCATCCAAATGTCGTAATAGGACAAATATGTGTAGAACAAATTCAAAAATCCTCCTCCTTTATTATATAGATATTGAAGATTCATATGAGAGAAACGGCGAGAAAGTAAGAGAAAATATAGGAAAATTAAACCCCCGAAAACAAATGTGTTTTCAATAAATTACACTTTTGATCCCAAAATTTAGTATTTTTCACTTCTACTACAAAGTTTTAGCAAATTATTTCTTGCACTAAGACCCCTCCAACTAGGGCCGTACAAAATACTGCTCAATCGACTAAAACTACACCGATTTGCATCAATTCACACCGCGTATTCGCTAATTGTGATGTAAACTTTAAAATTTATAATCCGCTTTTGAAACCGTTCCGCTCTACTATAATTAATACATATATATTTTTAATCTATAATGAAATATCAAAGAAAAAATAAATGTGATAGAGATTTAATATGTGAAATTTATTACAAAATAATAGTTATATATATGAAAAATATTATATAAATTAGTGTTATATATTATGTAAAGATTTGATAGTTGGTTTGAATATTTTTCAGTCTGTCAATCTGTCCAAAATCTCTCAAACCACAATTTGTCAATCTGCTATTCGATTTATAATTTTACTAGCATATGCCCGTGTCTAAAGATATGGTATAAATAATGTTTTGATTAGAATATAATTGTAATCCCAACACTATTTAATTTTTTTTTTTAATTTGATAAAATCACAAATTTGTTATAAAATTTTAGAATTCTCACAAACCTCCTCACAAAAACTTACTTTTGCTTATATAATGCATAGCTAGATAGATAGATGTACTTAGCATACATACAATTTCCACTAGGACTGAGCAAGAAATCCGTAAAATCCGTAATCTGATCCAGTCCAGTCCAATCCAATCCGATAGGTTTGGATTGGTTTTTGAATCCGTGGTTTGGTTCTGAATTGAAGAATTAAAAATCCGTAGTCCACGGATTGGTTCCGGATTGAATCCCACGGTTTCAGATTGGAACCGATCCGGACCGTATACAAATAGTCTATATTTTTATTATACATCATCATCCATAGTATCTTCTCTTATTTTATATAAAACCTAAACTCAAACCTAAACCCGTATAATATATTCTTTTATTACTTTTATTTGTTAGTTTTTAGTTTTAATTTATAATTGTCTAAAATGCTTATGGTGAAACCAGTTTTTCATGGTTGTTTAAATTATAGAATAGTACATCGCTATTATAGAAAAACATATCACTATTGTGGAACTAATATAGCGCTATATTTATGTTTTTATGAAATTAAAGTGTTTTATATATATATATTTTTGTTAGTTAATTATGTGAATCCGTGGTTCTGAACCAATCCAATCCGTGTTTAAATGGTTTGGTTCGGATTGGTTCCATGATTTAAACGGATTTGATTGGTTCTAATTTTTCAAGAACCGTTGATAACGGATTGGTCCTGGTTTTACCCCATTCCGATCCAATCCGGACCATACTCACCCCTAATTTTCACAGGCATACATACAATCCCGCTTTTCTTCATCAAATTATATGAAAATTGTATGTACAAATGTCCTAGTGTATTACGGGCATGCATATATTGAACAAAAATGAGAAAATAAAAAAAATTAAACAAATAGAGAGAAAAATAAAAAGAAAAGAGAGAGGAAGGCGGAATCATGAGATTATGGAATGAGAGGTGTGAGAAAAGGAAAAAGTAAGAGAGAGAGAGAGAGAGAAGCAGGAAAATAGAAAATGTACATGTAAGATATTTTTTGAAAAATATATCTCAGCCGTTGTTTTATAATTTGAATAGATCTAAGCCGTCCAAATGTCCTAGTAGGACAAATGTGTGTAGGACAAATTCAAAAAACATTCTGCTTTATTATATAGATATTGAAGATTCATATGAGGTCTAAATTTGCGAAGCCTATCGACGTATTCAATATATTTAAAAATAATAATTAATTGTTCAAATTCATTTAATTTGTGAACTATAAAAATTATTAATTTAATCTCCACTACATACAGTAAAATCTGACTCCTAATTCTGGGATCGCAGACTTTTTCATATAATATTAATAAAAATAAGTGAACAAAAATGAGAAAATAAAAAAAATAAAATAGAGAGAAAAATAAAAACGGGAGAAAATAAAAAAAAATAAAAAAAAAAGAGATAGAGGAAGGTGGGATCATGAGATCATAGAAGGGTGGGTGAGAAAAGGAAAAAATAAGAGAGAGAAACGGGAAAATAAAAAATGTACATGTAGGATATTTTTTGAAAAATATATCTCAACCATTATTTTATAATTTAAATAGATCTGAGCTGTCCAAATGTCCTAGTAGGACAAATGTGTATAGAACAAATTCAAAAACCATCATACTTTATTATATAAATATTCTCAAACTGTTTAAAGGGTTGTTTGGGGTGTCCTAAATAAATGCACTATTTGTCTTTTTGGACTAAAAGTTGATGAAAAAAATATGAATGTTTTGGTTAACTTTTTGTCTTTTTTATGAAAAAATGTGTAATAAAAAATTGTATAAATAAAGTATATAGGGGAAGAAAGTTGAGTAGGTTGTACGTCTGCCCTGCTGGGTATTGTGTCTTCCACAGCAAGTTATTACCTCATTCGGGGCAAAGTATTTGGACAGTGATGGTCGGCCCGTGGGGACACCACGGGTCCCATTTTAATAATTTGAACTGTATGTACAACTCGTCGAGTATTATATGTCTGTAAAAAATCACGTTGATCGGATATCGATAGCTATATGATCGGATTAGTTTTTTTTTTCAATAGTTAACTATCATACCATCCGTTTTGTTTATACAAAACTGATTTGATCATTTAGTTAACGATATCCGATCAATGTGATTTTGTTCAGGCATATAATACTCGACGAGTTCTACATATTGAACAATTCGGATTATCAAAACGGAACCCTTAGTGGGCCCCTAAGGGCCCAACATTACCATTCAACTTTGTAACATTACATATGTAATTTATTTTTTATTTTTTGCCCAAAAAGTGAATGACCTGCCTTCCTGCTGGGGCAATACAGCTGACAGTGTAATTCAAACTTTTGTATTTAAAAAATGTATAAAATATTTTTTAATATTTTTTATTTGTAAATAGTAACAACTTTTTTACTTTTTCTATAATTTTTTAACTTTTTAAATTTTTTTAAGAGCTGCCAAACCCAGCCTAATACGCACCGCGTACACCAACACGAATAAGTAACTTACACAACAATTTTTATTTATTTTATATATTTTTGGTTTACCGAAGAGGGGTGTTTGGGCCAATGTTTTAAAAACTGGATCGGTGAGCGAACCGGAAAAGGCATCGGGTGGACGGGTCACCGGTTCAACCGTCGGGTTGAACCGGAATCAAACCGTGACGTAATAAATATATTAAAATTATATTTAAATAAAAATATAAGTAATAAAATTATAAATTAAAAATATTAAAAATATTAAATTATCTTAAATATTTGTCCTAATATTTTTTTTACTGAAAAATATAATAATATATTTTAAAATATTATTAATTTCAATTTTGGAAGATGAAATCAAATATTTAATATTCCCTCCATATGATTTTAATTCAAATAATTTGATTGAAAGGAGAGCAAAAATTTTGGAGGGATATCAAATTTTCAATATTCCCTCCAATACATTTGATTGAATCCCACATGGATTTCTTGAATTTTTTTGAAAGAGTTTTTTTCTTATAAATAGGTGAAAACTTTCACAATAATTTCATCAAGCTTTTAATGGGATTCCTCACAAGAGGAGACCCTTGAAAAAGAGTTTTAAATTAAAATTTTCTTATATTCTTGTATTCTTAAATTAAAATTACTTTCCCACAATTACACCTTATTTTCAAGAATTGAACTATAAGCAGTTGGGTAAGAAGCACATTTATCAATCACTCAGGATAATAACTCTGAAGATTAAAATGTTTATTGGTGTGTCACATGAGCAAAACAGTTTTTTTTCAAAAAAAGGTAACAAATTTGGGTTTAAGATTTGTTGCTCGCACAAAATACTTTATTGTTTTTTCTCTTCACACTGTAAATCATGCAACAATGTTCTATATTATTTCTCTATTTAATTTAAATATTTTTTTCCAAAATTTAAAAACCTATACCTCATGAGATAGAAATAAGTAATGTAAATGTGATTTTCTACTAAATGTCACATTTAAAAAAAAAAAAAAATTCCTACATTAGCATTGCTATTACTTTTAATTGTATTAGAGAATTCATAATGTAACATTACATGTATGTCCAAATATTATTGGATATCCAACTACTATTATTATTATTATTATTATTATTATTATTATTTTGACAATTAATCATATTTGACATATTATACTTTAAGCAAAATGTGAGCTGATATCTATAAAATTATCAAAAAATTAATAGACTAGTTTATCAATAATACTATTTATTTATACATCAAAATACACACTCATTGTGTTAGGCCTCGTTTGGTAAGTTAATATTTTAGTAAAAAAGTTAAAAAGTTATTAAAAAAGTCAAAAAACTTATAATATATACAAAAAAGTCAAAGATTTTTTTTTCTCTCTACTTTTTGCACATCTTTTTGTAAAAAATTAAAAATTCACCCAAAACATACTAATTTTTTTTGACCTCATATTTTAATCAAAAAATCAAAAAATAATTAAAATAGTCTGTTCCGTAACTTTATTCCTGGTTTATTTCCGATGTTATCATCAGCATAGTTTTAGCCCAGCCCAATCTCAGGATTGTAGGCCCAAGTCTAACACAGCCCGGCCCACTTAACGTTGTCTCTATCTCTATATTTTTACAATACAAACCTATCGATTCTCAGATGATTCGATGATTCGGTTGCTTCAAACCCCACTTCTCACTCAGGTGCCATTCTCTCTCTCTCTCTCTCTCTACGTGTATATATATATATATGTGTATATACAGAAGTGTAATTTGGTGTAATTTTTGAAGGTGCCGTTGGTTTCATTGACCCAAAGACTGTTCGGAGCTCATGGACGGTACTTCCCTGCAATTCCATTTTTGTTTTTGTTTAATTTCATGTTTTAAAATTCAATTTTGGCTTTCAATTTTTGACTTGCGAAGAAATCACCCTCTTTTTGGTTTTCAATTTTCAAAAACAGTTTTTTGAGTTTTTATTTTTATATTTTTAATGATTTTTTTTGAAATATTTAATCAATTTTTTTTCTTTGGATTCACTTAATCTTAATATACTTAAAGGGAGCTTTTTTTGATAAATCCACTTTCTAAGAGTTTTATTCCATCCAACGCATATTTTTTTTTGGCTATTCTATTAGGTCTTATTTGAGATAAGAAGACCAAAATGTCATTTTCATCTACTTATGTTCCATTTAGTTCACATCATTTTCTTACGTTTCAATAAGTCCTATGGGTGACATAATTACTAAAATATCCTAAATGTGAATGTTCACACCGTCAATGTGAATGTTCATATCGTCAATGTGTAGGGGCCTGGCCCATGTCGATCCTCATGGGTGCTCGGAAAAATTCAAGTCAGGCCGAGCGGGTCCGACCCATTGACAATATGAATATTCACATTGACATGTTAACATTCATATTAATAGGAGTGTAAAATTGGCCTGTGTCCCGTGGCGGCGCGAAACTCGCCCGCGGCCCATGGACGGCCCGGGGCGGGCCCGGTCCGGCCCGTTGACAATGTGAATATTCACATAGACATGTTAACATTTATATTGATAAGAGTATAAAATTGGCCCGCGGCCCATGGGCGGCCAAAAGCCCTCCTACGGCCCGGGGCGGGCCCAGCCCGGCCCGTTAACAATGTGAATATTCACATTGACATGTTAACATTCACATTGATAGGAGTGTAAAATTAGCCCGCGCCTCGTGGTTGCCCGAAACCAGCCCACGGCCCAGGGCGGGCCCGGCCTGGCCTGTTGACAATGTGAATATTCACATTAACATGTTAACATTCACATTGATAAGAGTATAAAATTGGCCAGCGGCCCAGGGCGGGCCCGGCCCGGCCCGTTGACAATGTGAATATTCACATTGATATGTTAACATTCACATTGATAGGAGTGTAAAATTAGCCCGTGCCTCGTGGCTGCCCGAAATTAGCCTACGGCCCGTGGACAGCTCAGGGTGGGCCTGGCCATTTTCTTTTAATTCTTTTTAATTTTTTCTACCAAAATTTTATTATTTTTCACAAAAAAAGACACTAGGCCTCGGATCGAGCCTTGAATGGGCCTTAACCAGGCCGATGGGCCGGGCTGGGCTTCAAAGTGATGGCCCAGGCCCTAGCCTAGGGTCTCGGACTAAGCTCAAGCTTGGGCCTAAACGAGCCTTTCTCGGGCCGGGTCGTGCCGGCCCACGAGCCAAAAAATTAGGCCCAGGCCTTAGCCTTGGCACAACGGTATTCGGGCTTTGGACGGGCCGATGGATCGAGCCTTAGGTCGGGCCAGTGGGCCTGGGCCTAGCCTAGAGCTTAGGTCGGGCTTGGACGGGCCTGGCCATTTTTTTTTAATTCTTTTTAATTTTTTCTATCAAAATTTTATTATTTTCCACAAAAAAAATACATTGCGCTTCGGGCGAGCTGGGCCTCGGACCGAGCTTTGAATTAAACGGGCCGATGGGCTGGGCCGGGCTTCAAAGTGATGACCTAGGCCCTAACCTAGGGTCTCGGACATGCTCGGGCCGAGATCGAAACGAGCCTGCCCCGGGCTTTGGGCAGCCCACGGGCCGCGGGCCAATTCTACATTTCTATCAATGTGCATTTTAACATGTCAATGTGAATATTCACATTGTCAATGGGCCGGACCAAGCTTACCCCGGGTCGTGGGCAAGCTTCGGGCAGCAGACAAATTTTACACTCCTATCAATGTTAATGTTAACATGTCAATGTGAATATTCACATTGTCATGGGTCGGGCCAAGTCCGCCTCGGGCCGCCAACGGGTTGCGGGCCAATTTTACACTTTTGTCAATGTGAATATTTACATTGTCAACTGGTCGAGTAGGGTCGGGCCCGCCTTGGGCCGCTGGCCAATTTTATACTCTTATCAATGTGAATGTTAACATGTCAATGTGAATATTCACATTGTCAGCAGGCCGGGCCGGGCCCGCCTCAAGCCGTCCATGGGCCGTGGGCGGGTTTCCGACAGCCACGAGGTGCGGGCTAATTTTACACTCCTATCAATGTGAATGTTAACATGTCAATGTGAATATTCACATTGTCAACAGGCCAGGTCAGGCCCGCCCCGGGTAGCGGGCGGGGGCGGGCTTTTGGCCGCGGGCCAATTTTATACTTTTATCAATGTGAATGTTAACATGCTAATGTGAATATTCACATTGTCAACAGGCCGAGCCGGGTCCGCCCCGAGCTGCCCATGGGCCGTGGGCGTGTTTCGGGTAGTCATGAGGCGTGGGCGAATTTTACACTCCTATCAATGTGAATGTTAACATGTCAATGTGAATATTCACATTGTCAATGGGCCGGATCGGGCTCGCCTTGGGCCGCTGGCCAATTTTATACTCTTATCAATGTGAATGTTAACATGTCAATGTGAATATTCACATTGTCAACGGGTCGGGTCGGGCCCGCCCTAAGCCGCTGGCCAATTTATACTCCTATCAATGTGAATGTTAACATGTCAATGTGAATATTCACATTGTCAACGGGCCGGGTCGGGCCCGCCCTGGGCCGTTGGCCAATTTTATACTCTTATCAATGTGAATGTTAACATGTCAATGTGAATATTCACATTGTCAATAGGCCGGGCCAGGCCCGCCCTAGGCCCCCATGAGCCGTGGGCGGGTTTCGGGCAGCCATGAGGCGCGGGCTAATTTTACATTCCTATCAATGTGAATGTTAACATGTTAATGTGAATATTCACATTGTCAACGGGCCGGGCCGAGCCGGGCTCGCCCCGGGCCGCGGGCGGGCTTGCTTTTGGCCAGCCATGGGCCGCGGACCAATTTTATACTCTTATCAATGTGAATGTTAACATGTCAATGTGAATATTCACATTATCAATGGGCCGCCCCGGGCCGCCCATGGGCCGCGGGCGGGTTTCGCGCCGCCACGGGACGCGGGCCAATTTTGCACTCCTATTAATGTGAATGTTAACATATCAACATGAATATTCACATTGTCAACGGGCCGGGCCTGCCCCGGCTAATGGGCGGGTCTCGGGCCGCTCACGGGCCAATTTTACATTTCTACTAATGTGAATTTTAAAATATGAATGTTCACATCATAAAATTGCTAATCGTTCAAAAAATATTTATAAGGGTATCAAAATTAAATATAAAGGGCATAAGTGTCCAAGAAAATAGTGTAAATCAAGAAAAAGGACTGTATAGAATAAAATTATACATACATGGAACTAAATGGGTTAAAAAATTCCTTCATGGACTTCTTGGGTTAAAACACTTCTAAATGGGATTTATCAATAATTTACCCATACTTAAAAGTAAAAAATTTATGCAAAATTTTTTTAAAAAATCATTGAATACAAACAAAATACAAAAATATATTAAATTTTCTTATTATTTTTTACTTTTTGTAGTTGGTGAATTTTTAATTTTTTTTACAAATATTATCCGTTTTAAGCGTATATAGATTAGGTGTATAAAAGATAAATAATGTGTTTAAAATATTAAAAAAAACATCACTAAAAATAATAAAAAAAATACGAAAAATAAAAAAAACTCAATTTTCTGAACCAAACATGATGAATGGCTTGTACCATTCCATACCCATTTCACGCTGTGTGTGTTATGGGTCATCAATCAGGTTTATTGTTGATTTTGGTTTTGAGTAAAATGGGTAGAATGTTCAGGTTTAGGGTAGTTTAGTTGTGTGTGTTTATATGTCTGTGATACTGGGGTTTATTTTGTAACATGGGAATCTCTTGGATTGTTGAAATGAAAATGGAAAAGAAAAAAATAAAAACACACTTCTTTCTTGGGAATTTTGAATTTGTGTAGTTGATTTGAAATAGTTTGTTGCGCCTTTTGTAGTGTTAAGATGAGTTATTATGTTTAAATTGCTCTTTTTTTTTTCTTTTTTTCTTTTTTTTTTTAAAAAAAATATATTTATACATTTATCTATATGGTTAGCATTAACAAATAATTAATGACTTCAAATTTTTTTTTTAAACCTCAATTATCGGGAAGGCTATATTTTCTCTGTTTTAGAGGATTGGAGCTTTTAACATGTCCTTTGCTTTTCATTGCATTTAACGGAGTTGTTTTGTGGTACTATTTTTTTTTTTTTTGTATTTAATTTTATCATTTTTGTTAATAGTTTGAACTTGTGACCCTGCCCCCAGGCTGATTCCTCTTTGGTATAATTACATACAATTTTTCTTTCATGTGGGACTCTGTATGTGATTGTGTTTGTGGCTCCATATTTCTTTTTCACAGGATGAATTTTGAAGCTTATAGAAAGCCAGATGTTCTAATTTCATTTTCATGGGATGCCAGACTTCGACATTTACTAGCTATAATGCCATGTTGACACATGTTGCTTAGAATGTTTAACAAATTGTTTCAACAAACTTATCATTGGTAGCGTTTTCTTGTGATTCAATGTCGTGAGAGTGTGCAAGGCTTTTGAGCTTGTGATTCAATGTTTAACAAAAAACTTATCATTTTTGTTAATAGTTTGAACTTGTGACCCTGCCCCTAGGCTGATTCCTCTTTGGTGTAATTATATACAATTTTTCTTTCATGTGGGACTCTGTATGTGATTGTGTTTGTGGCTCCATATTTCTTTTTCACAGGATGAATTTTGAAGCTTATGGAAAGCCAGATGTTCTAATTTCATTTTCATGGGATGCCAGACTTTGACATTTACTAGCTATAATGCCATGTTGACACATGTTGCTTAGAATGTTTAACAAATTGTTTCAACAAACTTATCAATGGTAGCGTTTTCTTGTGATTCAATGTCGTGAGAGTGTGCAAGGCTTTTGAATTAGAATGGAGCTTAAAGCGTAAGAACAAAATTAGAAAACGTAAGATCAATATATGCTTTTAAGGTGTTGAGTTCATTGATGAAGCATGTCTGCAAGGCCTCGGTTGGGAACAGGCTAATTTAGTAACTTTTTTGCTATTTGGCTAAAATATGAGCTAAAAAAAACTAGTATATTTGGGATGACTTTTTGGCTTTTTACGAAAAGATGAGCAAAAAGTAAAGAGAAAAGAGAATCTTTGACTTTTTGGTATGGGTTGTTGGCTTTTTGATTTTTTTAGTGACTTTTTGGCTAAAAAAATCATTTGCCAAACGAGGCTGTGTAAAAATGGTTTATGATTGATGTCCAATCTCTATTATAATTGCCAGGGGAGAGGTTGAGGGGATAGTCTCCAATTAGAGCAAATAAATAATATAAATATTATATGTTTTGGTAACAATACACAACTTCTATGGCTTAGGTATGCTTGTGATTGCTTTTTTAATGTTCTTTTCCATCATAATAAAGTTCCATACACATCGCTTTTTAACCCTGAATTTACGGAGTTATTTTATTTTGAGAAGAAATGTTGCATTTACATTCAGATCAAGCACTCGTGTAACTGAGATACTTCAGGATCGTGTGGATGTGCCATCAAATAGGAACACTCTTAATGGATTTAGAACTTTTTGTAGTGGCAAAGGTGCGCATAAATCTTAAACTATACATTTTGGTTTCTAGCATTTTTTTAATTGCATCTGAAGTAAAAACAATTAAGACAAGACCATAGTCATTTTTCATGATTTTAAGCGCTGAACCTCAATGCCAACACTACTCTTTAACCATGTGGCCATTGGCTTTTCCATTACAATTTTGCATACCAGCCTGGCACCTCACTTCTGTAATTTTTTAAAAGGACATCATTTTGTGTCTATTGGATGCAATTATGTTAGCTTCTTCAGTGATTCTTAATGCTATTCATAGTATTAGGGAAAAAAAACTGCGATTGTTGATAGAGTGGTTGCATGTGATTGCGTCTTCCTGTCCTCAGTAATAATTTGCTTGCCATGTCAGATCTGTCAACCAAGAAATGTGTGTCATGCAGCTCTGGGGATATGAGGCCCATGACTGAACAAGCAGCCAATCAGCTGATCCAACAGGTTTACATTTGGATCTAAGTTGGACCTCTATTTTCTTCTTTGTATAAAGTGATTTTCTTCATCTATTATGTGTTAGTTAGGTACTTATCAAAGATAACAAATCTGAGTTATTTAGGTTCCTGAATGGAACTTGACAAATGATGGTGGTACGATGAAGCTGAGTCGATCATGGAAAGTAAAGACTTTCTTGAAAGGCTTGGAGTTCTTTCAGGCTGTTGCTAATGTTGCTGAAGGAGAAGGTATTTCACTATTCTCATTTCATAATTCACCTACCTGTCTGGCACATTTTGAAGAACTTGGCATGTAGGTTTGGGTATGTAAATAATAATAATGATAATCTTAACATGTTGGAAACAAATGAACTCTGATTTATAATTTATTGAACATAGATGACAGAAAATTTTAGCATGATCTACTTGGTAATTCATTAGATAGTACAAATATTGGTATCTATGGGCATGTGATAACAATATCTATATGAAAATTTTAGTTGTACAACAAGCTGTAACTGGAAATATGTTGTTTCAATCTATTAACTGGAAGTTATTAAATCTTTAAGATTTAATTTTTGAAGAATGTTGGACCTTGGAAAAGTTGCCTCCTTTTTCTTCTCTCACAATAATGAATTGCTGGCCTTATAAACATCCTATAGATTTTCCTTTCACTTTGTAGGCATTTGAAAACTATTCAAACAATCTGGAAGACCTCCTCCATCACAGTGAATGTGTTCTATGATTCAATTAATTTATTACCAAGATAAAAGTAGTGCTTGTAATGTGACATTAAGCCTTAGCTAAGACTTTATGCTTCAGTTCAGATTATAGGTTTCCATGTTTGCAATTTGTTTTGAACAATGAGCCCTGCATTGTGCTGTTAACAAAAATTTGATTCTCCATGTGATAGGATGTCAAAATACAAGCTCATTGTCCTACCCTGGTGCACTATTTGATACCTAACAATTCATGCATCTTCATGAAGCAGTTCACATATTATAAAATGACGGGTTTTTTGGATGGTTTATTGAACGAAAACAATCATGCATTCATTGCAGGTCATCATCCAGATCTTCATCTTGTCGGATGGAACAATGTGAAAATTGATATATGGACACATTCTGTTGGTAAGGATTATCTGTTTATCAAACCAAACTTTGCAATCTGTGGTTCAATTTATTTTTCATGCCTTTGAAACTCTGTTTCTCTTTGTAGAGCAAATTTACAGTGAAAATATGAATAAATAATATTGTGCTTGACAAAATCAAAGGGTTGGTTTTGGATTAGTTTGACTGATGTAGGAAAGTAATTTAAATGAGTAATAATGCTCCCTATAATTGGTTAAAGGCCAACAGTAAGCAAACAGTTTGGGGCTTAGGGCTTGGCAGGATAGTGTTTTAGAGGAAATAGGGCTGTTGTGGGGCTCTAAACGTAAACAGAGAATAGCATCAAGGCTGCTTCTTCCTCTTCTATTTTTTTTTTCTTTCTTTTTGGCTATAGTAAATCTGAGATAAAGGGAAGGATTGGGCTTATGATGATAGAAATTCTTTAGGGTTTGAAAAAATGCTTATCAGGGTCAAGTTGTAGATTTACGTGGAACAAAAGTAAGGGACAGAAGATAAGAGGAATTAGAAATCTCACTAGGAGTCCTGACTTCCAAGCCTTTGCCCTCTCAAGAGTTGAGCTTCATCAGGAATTGCCATCTCAAATCCTCTAAAGTCTTCATTGAATTGGGAAAATGTGTACATGCCCGTAGGTTGCTGGGCTTTTCTGACTTATAAGTAGGATATGACCCCAAATAGGAGCTTTGAAACTTGTACTGCTAAGACTATTCTATATGCTTAGGTTGCATGGGAAATTAAATTACCAAGCAGACCTGAAATCTTAAATTAGTACCAAAGCAGTCATCAGTCATGTACAACTAGGTGGCCATTAAGTAGGATAAGACCCCAAATAGGAGCTTTGAAACTTGTACTGCTAAGACTATTCTATATGCTTCAGGGCAGAAGTGTTTGAGGTTGCATGGGAAATTAAATTACCAAGCAGAGCTGAAATCTTAAATTAGTACCAAAGCAGTCATCAGTCATGTACAACTAGGTGGCCATTATCTTCTCTGCACAGAGAGAGAGAGAGAGAAGGTAGTTGTAAAAATGAAATAAGTTGGCTGCTCAAGTAGTTTTTGGGATCTAATTGAACTTCTACGATGAAGTACAACTATTGCTCACCAAAATGTCCTATGCAATCTTATTGACCACTTTGGCATAAGATGTTCAATGGATTAAAACTTAAAAAGCAATATAACCAATTTAATATGAGGTAATTGAGTGAAATACATTTGCAGTCTCAAGCCCCAGAAAAGGATAGTATTGTTCTGTCACCTTCTATCTGAACTTGGAAATGTTTGCCTTCTTTTTTTTTTTTTTAGAAAAGGATAGTATTGTTCTGTCACCTTCTATCTGAACTTGGAAATGTTTGCCTTCTTTTTTTTTTTTTTTGATCAGAGAAATGTTTGCCTTCTTTGCGACACCTTTTGTTGAACATGTTTGAACATGACAGCACAGCTATGTCGAGACAATATAACTGTTTGATTGAAAGATAAATCTTTTGACTTTTGAATTATCAAAGCAAGAATTTTCTGTAAGAGTGGAACCTCCAAAATGATTCTCTCCGTGTGCAGGCGGACTTACTGAAAATGATTTCATACTTGCTGCGAAGATCAATGGGCTTGATGTGCAACACCTTCTGAGCGGGAAACCTGCTAAATGACTTGAGATATAAATATTATGTTTATGAAAATGTTAAAATACGTAACTCTTTTCCTGAGTTTGAATGTCTGTTAATAAATTTTGTCTTTACGAAAATGTTTGATGTATGTGTCTTGGTTTTTTTTTTTTATGTCATGCCACATCATTAGAGCCATTATTAGAGTTCTAAATTTAAAGCTATGAATCATTGCTCTTTGTCTTTATGGCATTTGGGTTGGATTCAAAACTATGACCTCACCTATTATATAAATTACAAATATCTAAAATTTCTAAAATTATGTTACATCATTTGTTAGTATATTAATTGGTATACCAATTGATACATATAGCATTATTCTTCAGCTTTTAATGTCTCCTCTCATGATTATGCCTGGAGATATGTGGATATGGAATGCTTTTGAATTACTTAGGGCGTTTATTTAAAATAATCGATAATAGAGTCGTGATTATTATTTTATTTTTCATAACCGAGAACTGATCCTAGGTCACTTTGGATCCATTTATGCTATGTTTGGTTTGGGGATTTGGGAAAGAATTTAGAAAATAAAAGGGAAAAGGTAATGTGTTCTTTCATTTTTCTTTCCATTTTTAAATCTCTTATCAAATTTCTCAACCAAACACAGTATTAAGTAATGTGTTCTTAGGATACATGCATCACATTATTGGGGACTCGAATTTATGATTTTCTGGAAGGAACTTTGGGGTTGAACATTCGACAAGGAGTATATCGCATTGTTTGTTGCAGTTTTGTAGGGGTGGCAAATATGAAGGGTTGAACGTGTCAAAATGAGTTAGTTATGTACTAAAACAATCCGCTGTGCATAAAGCAACCAATCAAGTGTCGGACATCTAATGATTTTGAACATAAAAGTCAAATAAGCAAGATCAAAATTAATAGAAAAAACTCAACTTGCTTAAAGGAAATATAAAAATGCTTCCAGCAATGCTATATATAAAGCGGATCAAACACATAATTATATACAAAAATTGTTTCACCGGATGATCGGCGTAACGACTGAAAGACCCTATGATATGGTCAACAAGCTCTGGCCAATATGATAGTCACGGTTGGTACTATAACAATCACGGTCATAATAGTCACAGTTGGTACTATAACAATCACGGTCATAAGCTTTGGTCGGTCGTTCGTCCAAACGACCGGTCAGATGATTGGATATATAATTTCTATATTCGGATGTCTGTATATCTAGACTTTTTGAAATGCTTCTACTAATTTTGAACATAATGTAGCCGGTACCATCATCATCACTAATCACAATTATCAATTTTTTATGATTTAAATTTCTACCAGAGTCAATTGATAAAAAAATTTGAAGTTGTTTAAAAAATATATCTAACATCTTATTACAGTGCAACTTCCTTCCATATGTTCCCCTTCATTCTATCCACAAAAAATAAAAAGAACCAAATTTAGAAATAATTACTAAAAATAAAAAAATCAAATATGTTGATTTTTTAATATATATTTTTAGTATTTAAAAAAAAACGGCTGAGATATTTTAAATTTTAATTTTTAGGGTTTTTAAATTATGAAAGGTGCAAATTTTCAAAAATTTCATACAAAAAATTTGGGAGAGTTGAGAGCCTATTGCTAGAATAATTTTAATTGGAAAAATGCCTTAGACCCCCAGCTGGGGTGCTGGGGGGTCTTCTCCTATTGGCCCAAAAAATTGTTTTTTTTTTTTTTTCTTGATTTTCGGCCATTACCAGCCCCCCACGTGGAGGTGGGGGTGCTGGGGGTCTCCAGCAGGACCGTTTTAATTGAGATCAGAAAAGTACAATTATTGAAACCAATAAAAAATTGTACATTAATCTGACTATAGATCCACTCGCACATTAATATAAAAATAAGACCAAATTTAGAAATATTCTCTAACAACAAAAATCAAATTTGTTGATTTTTTAATGAATAATGCTTGGGACCCCCTTTTGGGGGTCACCCCCTCACCCCCCTTTGCCACGTGGCAGGGGGTGATTGGTGGAGCAGGAAAAAAAAGAAAAAGAAAAAGAAAATGTAACCAATGAGAGAGGGTGGGGGTCAAAGGGGGATGAATCATTACTCTTTTTTAATATATATTTTTAGTATTTAACAAAAAAATTAGTTTAAGTATCTTAAATTTTAAAATTTAGGGTTTTTTTAAGGGTTTTTTATTGATAAATTCCATTTAGAGGTGTTCTAACTCAATAAGTCCATCATGAAAAATAATAACCTAGTTAGTCCCATACATTTATATTTTTATTCTATGAGATCTTTTTTCCTTATTTATATTATTTGTTAGATTATTATACCATTATGTCTATTGTTGATATGTATTATATAGAAAAATGATATACATATTTCTTTTTTGTTGCTACATCTATTTTGGTAATTACCATTATTCACGTTTTTCTTTTTGATCAATTTCATTCACATTTGTGGTAATGTTTCATTGTATTAGGGTTTCAAAACTCTTTATTTGGTAGGGTTTAGAACTCTAGTTTACACATGGTGGTGAAATAATATTATATTCCTCCATTGTTGAGGTAAAATTGTGTTCCTCCATTGTCACTTTGTGTTCGAAATTCTATGTTCTTCCATTGTCGCTCTGTGTTCGAAACTCTATATTTCTCCATTATTATAAGTCGAAACTTTGTTTATGTTCAATCAATTTTGTTACAAATATATTATTCAAAGGCGGGTTTGGTTTGATTTATATTAGTGGAATAGTGAAATTGCATAGATTGCTATTGATAGTGATAATTGTAAAGATGATGATGAAGATGAGGATACGTGTGATATTTTTTTGTTTTTAGAGTGATTGAGTTTTTTTTTGAAATTCTAATTATATTGCTCCAATTGTTTATATTTTTGGTCAATTAGTGTGAATGTTCACATTTTATATTGTTTGAAAGTCAGAGAAATAAGTGTTGAAATATAGATATGAACATAATTATATATTTTGCAATATGTGAATGTTCACATATTATTGGTCATTTGTTATTATACTTATTGGTTGAACAATCATTTTTTGTTACCATTAAACAATTGAGATAGTTATTTTTTTTTTCAATTTTGTTTCATGTTGCAGTGTGAATGTTTACATTGGTATGAATTAATTTTTTTAAGGTTAGTTGTATGTTAATTGTAAATTATGAATATTCACATTGTATTTTTGTATGAAATTTTTTTTGAAGTTTTTTTGAAAGTTAATTGTATTTTGTTGTTTATTTTAGAGAGATTTATTAGAAAATCCCTTTTCAATTGTTTGTATCCCAATTAGTCCATAAAATATTTTTGTATTCCAATAAGTCCTATTATTTGAACATTTGATATTCTAAATCCTAATTTTCATATTTAAAGTATTTTATGGACATTTCTATCTTTACAAATATTTTTTGAACGATTAACAATTTGGTGATGTGAACATTCATATTTTACAATGTGAATATTTACATTGACGTGTGAATGTTCACATTGACATGTTAACATTTACATTGATAGTGTGAACATTTGCATTGACGGTGTGAATATTCACATCACGAAACATTTACACTGTAAATATGAATATTATTAGGGGTATTTTGGTGATTATGTTACTCATAGGACTTATTGGCATATAAGAAAATAATGTGAACTAAATGGAATATAAGTAAGTGAAAAGAGATTTATGAAAAAGTGCCCATTTATTTTACTATGCTTGTTGGTTGAACAATCATTTTTGTTACCATTGAACAATCGAAATAGTTGATTTTCATTTTTTTAAATTTTATTTTGTATTTTCACATTGTAGTGTGAATGTTCATATTGATATAAGTTTATTATTTTTTTAACTAGTTATATATTAATTGTAAATTGTGAACATTCACATTTTATTTTTGTATAAGTTTTATTTTTTTGAAAGTTAATTGTATGTTTGTTGTTTTTGTTACTGTGTTTGTTAGTTGAACAATCATTTTTGCTACCGTTGAACAATCATTTTTGCTACCATTGAACAATTAAAATAGTTGATTTTCACTTTTTTTTTTTTAATTTTGTTTTATGTTTTCATGTTGCAATGTAAATGTTTACATTGGTATGAATTATTTTTTTAAGGCTAGTTGTATGTTAATTATAAATTGTGAGCATTCACATGGTATTTTAGTATGAATTTTATTTTTTCGAAAGTTAGTTATATGTTTGTCATTTATTGTGAACATTTACATTATACTTTAGAATGTGTTTTGTTTTTTCAAAAGTTAGTTGTATGTTTTCTGTTTATTGTGAACATTCACATTGTATTTTGATTTTCATTAAGATTTTTTATTGCGTTATTTTTAAAATTTTCAAATTATAAAAAGGTTCAAAATTCATAATTTTAGATTTTGTATGGAATGCAGAAGAGATTTTATTAATGGAATAAGGGAAAGAATTTCCCTTTAAAATGAGAGAGATATTTATTGTTATGCATTAGTTTCAAAATAGAAACATGCGCAAAAAATTAAAAAAGGTGATTTGGTCATATCAAATTAAACAAGACTTAATAGAATACTTAAAAAGAATATGAATTAGATAAAATAAAGCACTAAAAAAAAAGAATTTATTAAAAAATGACTATTTTTTTAAATTTAAAAAGTTCAAAATTTACCAATTCTTTTTCGAAAAATTCATACAAAAAATTTTAAATTTAAAAAGTTCAAAATTTACCAATTCTTTTTCGAAAAATTCATACAAAAAATTCGGGAAAGCTAAGAGCCTATTGCCAGAATGTAAAAAAAGTACAACCATCGAAACCAAAAAAAAGTTGTACATTTTAATCTGACAATAGATATATCTTATCTGGCAATAGACCCACTCGCACGGGCCAAGGATCTCTCCTTGCAGCTCCGTACTTGCGCTCGTCTTTGCAGGCTTTCGGGTATACTTTTAGGCCCAATTTTAATAATCTGAACCGTTCATATTTTATAATTTATTCAGTATATCATACCTGTAAAAAATCAAGTTGATCGGATATCAGAAAATATATGTTCGAAAAACTGTTTATTAAATTTTTAAAAAAATAGTTTTTAGTTCAATTTTTCGAACACATACTTTCTGATATCCGATCAACTTGATTTTTTACAAGTATGATATACTGAATAAATCATAAAATATGAACGATTCAGATTATTAAAATTGGGCTTAAAATAGACCCAAAGGCCTACACAAACGGGTGCAAACACATAAACTGCAAAGAGAGGATCCTCATTCCACTCGCACATGTTTTTTGGCTGTGTAGATCTATAGCTCGCCGACTGCGTTTATCGAACGCTTCTCTCTCTCTCTCTCTCTCCTTTTCATTCCGCTGAATTAAAATGGTAACTCTCTCTCTCTCTCTCTCTCTCTCTCTCTCTCTTATATGTAAGGGATCAACTCAAATCTATTTTTGAGTTGTGAGCGTCGAAGTGATTTCGAGTATATGGGGTTTTGTTACTTTCTTTACAGATTGTGTTCAATGGGTCATTGTATTATTCCTTGAAATTCCATGAATTGAGTGTCAATTGTAATGCCTTAATTGTTTTTTTTTTGGGGGGGATGTATTGTGACTAGTTCGTTGTCTTTTGGTAGAATTTCAAATGATATTGTCGTTCTGATGAACCTATCTGAAATGTTTAGCAACACCCAGAAGCTCAATTTTGAAATTACATTTTGATTTCTTCATTACTGAACAAAGATTTGATATATGCCCATTACGCTTTTTGCCCAATACAGTCTCTTTCACTTGTTTCAGATACTTCTTACTGCTTAAATGTGTTTCTATAAGTTTTATTCTCTGAGGCTGTGTTTGGCTCATGGATTTGGGGAGGGATTTGGAAGGGGAAAGGGAAAATAACTACATTTGACCTACGTTTCACTGTTCCCTTTCAAATCCCTCCCCAAATCTATGAACCAAACGTAGCCTTAGGCATTTGCATGTGTTCTTTAATTTTGATTCTGAAGGCAGAAATTAGTTATTTGATGAGGAGGGTATCCTATGATGGGTCCAAAGTTTTCTTGGTATATCTCTACCTCTTGTAATTGGGCAATATCATTTGGTGTGGATGCAACAAATAGTAGAATAGAATAAGGGATATCCAAAAGAAAAAGAAAAAAAAATTGTAGGGAATTTGAAAATGAAAAGATTCGACAATCCTTTTTACTTGTTTGGTTACCATGAAAAACAATGAGGAAAAGATGATATGATGGAAGTATGTGAAATTTTTTAGTTTTAAATATCACTTATCTTTTTGTATTTCTTTTCATTTCATATAACTTTTTAATCTTACATTTTTTAAGTAGTGGGGAAAATGCGAAGGAGAATATATTGCCTTCGTGTTTTTTTTCCACTTCCAAATCCCAGTTTCAGACAAAGGCTAATTATGCTAAAGTTTATGATTAGTCCTGTGGATTTGTGGTCTATGAACTCTTTTCCGTTCTTAGTTGATTCCTGATGTAATCTGTTGTATTTGATACTTAGATTAACAACGAAACATATTGATGAAATCATTTCACCATTAACTTGCCAAAATTCTCCATTAGAATCTAACTTTGCACTGGAAGATAATTTTGAATTTTAAGCACCTATTGTGCTCATATTTTAGGCTGACCCTGAATTGGAAGCTATCAGGCAAAGGAGAATGCAAGAGCTAATGGCTCAGCATGGCATGGTGAGTGATCATGTTGTTTAGCTTGTGCAAGTATCATTACATTATTGGTCTGCCTCCATTTGATCTGCATTTTTATAATGTCATTACTTATGGATCTTACTTCCATGCAGGGAAATCAACAAAACTCTGAACAACAGAACTCCCAGGAAGAAGCCAAAAGGTAGCCCTCCTGATCTAATAGTAACATCACATAACACTCATGGTTTTCAGCAAAGACATGATTAGCAGTTCAGTTTGTAAATTTTCTTGATCTGGACTATTTAAATATTTGCTTAGGGAAGCAGATGAACGGAGGCAAATGATGCTTAGTCAGATTCTGTCATCTGAAGCACGGGAAAGACGTAAGTTCAAATATGAGCAGAATATTTGGAATTTTTAGTGATTAGTGATTCACATGTATCCGATGCAATATTCTATCTTATGTTAAAGTGCATGCATTCTTCAAATTTTGGTGGTTTTGATTGACCGAGACACCTGTTTCCATTGCTTGGTTTACTTCAACTGTCTGGATTTAATTTGCTCCATTCACATTTGGACTATAATGCAAGCACTTTTTAGTTTTACTCTAGGTCGATCTGCACTTATGAATTTCACATTTGAGTTAGTTGAACTGCAAGCTGGTAATTGTAGTCATGGATGGGGAATTCTGTCCCTTAAATGACAAAGAATCAGTGTTTTACAATAGCTGTTGTTTAGTTGTGAGTGGTTTGAACTTTTGCTATCAGAAATGTATAATTTAAATTGCATTGTCAAGGAAACCAGGGAATGTGATATTGGTGGCTCGACAATAAAAAAAAAGGTTTATGGAAGTTGTATTAAACTTTTCTTCGGTTCGAAAGGGTTTTGTCTTTTCCATCCTTGAGAAAAATTATGTGCTGTTTTATGGCAGATGGTGATTGATGAAACACACGATTGTGGGATATTAAGGGATGCGGTGATGGTCTCACTATTTTGTTATTACTTATTCTTGTCAACAATCTTGTCTGATACTTGAGTTGGAGGGGGAATCCCTTCTAGTTATGCCTAAGAACTATGTTAATTCCTTTGTTTTTTTTTAGCTGTGATTTTGAATTTTAAACCTTTCTTCCCTAGTTTTTAGATGCATAACTTCATCATTTGTTCTAGAAAGCACCACTTATTAAGAATACGAGGCATTGGAGAAAATAGAAAGTTGTTGCAAAGTTATATTATGGTGGTGGTAAATCTGGTTCATTTAGAGGGAATTGGGTGATTGAATTTTTGAAGTTTGAATTCAGTGAGTTAAAGCCATGAATATTGTTAACTTGCATTAAGTTGCAAGAGTGAGCAATTGCTACTGTGTTAAGTTCTTTTACTTCTGATCTAAGGCAGCATTGGATAGTGTTTTGCATTTACTTTTATGGATGTTAATGGGGCACTTTTAACTTGTACAAGGACACAAATACTTGTTAAAGAAAAAAAAATTGTACAAGGACCAATATACCCACAGGGTATTTAGTTGAAAAATAACTTCTGCCCTCAAACCATCTTCTAGGTATTGTTGTCAAAATGGGACTGGATTGTTTGGTTGAACCGGTTCAACCATGAACTGGCCACTGAGAAGTAGAGGATATAGAAGCTCTCCATGATGGCCTGATGAAAGGGTTAAGTGGTTGTTCTAAAACATAGTGTATTATGAGCGTGATTTTAGTATGGTTTCCTCTTCTTTTCAAGCCAGTGGTTGAAGGACTTCATCGAGAAGGTTGGAATATCGTTAGCACCACAAACAAATTCCTCCTAGAATAGTTGGTAATGTGAATTAGTAAAGCTTTGTTAATTTTTGGAAGTCCTGGGACTCATGAATGCAATTTCTACGATAGAGGTGTCTAGGGATGTGAATCATTTAGCGATCTAATTAATCATGGGTGTTTAGAGAAAATATTGGCAGTGTAGACATACATTTAAATCTCACGTGGTAGGCTGAACTATGGCTATGCCATTTCGACGATCTTGCCATGTTGACATCTCTAATGGTCAAGGATCCATGTGTCGGTCTTGTGAGGTGACATGTGGACCAATAATATATCTCCTCATTCACCCCTTGGAGGGTGAGCCATGATGGTTGAGGATAGTGCACTCCATGCCTAGCTATTGAGCCTTAGGCAAATGGACCAAGGCATCTGATTGCTCAGTTGGGTCAAGAAGATCTCCTGAGCATGTCACCCTCTTCACTTGAAGACACGCTTAGCACTAAGGGTGGAAATTTGCAATACGACACGATAACACGATTTGAACCGTACACAAAGTTAGCGGGTTAGGGTTGACCATTTCTTGACACGAACATGTGTATGACACGACCCGATAATACAAATATTAAACAGATCGGGTTAGTGTCAAATCGGTATGACACAAAATTGGCACGGATAACCCGTATAATGAAGTTACACATTTTAATATTATTTCCACTAAAGAGTAGTATGACATATTTTAATTTCTTACATAATTACATCCAATTTATTAAAGGGTATGTAAAATACGATTTTAAATTTAATATAGATTTTGTTTTTGCTTTTAATTGAACTTAATGTATTTTTTGTCTATTATTTGAGTTAATCTAGTAAAAAATATAATATTTATAAATTAAGAAAATAAAATTAAGTTGAAATCAAATATTTTAATAAATAATTTCATTTAATAGAAATTAGTTTCATTAAATTTAACTTGTGAAGAAAATTTCAAATTTTTTTTCATACATTTGATATTTTTAGTTAATAGTAAATTTTTTTGACATGACATGTTAACATGACACGAACCGGATATGGACCGAAAATGACATGACACGATAACAGGAAGTGATAAATGGCTCGGGTTAGTATTAAGGTAATTCTGACATGAACTCGAGATGACATGACACGAATACGACCTAACACGTACGATGCCCACCCCTACTTAGCACCCCTGACTCGGTTCTTGCCATGTCTATCATGGTTTCTCCAAGTGTTAAGCATGCTTATTCTTCGAATGAATGTGCCTGCCTGTTGTTTACAGTTCGTGCTTGGTCCCTCTCGATTAGGTTGATCAGCTTTCCAACCGAGCGCACATCTTTGACAATGTGTACTGCACTAAAGAGTATCTTGATGCTGCCATGCCAACCTAGGTTTGGTGTAGGGCCTAGGAACCCCCTTGGGGTTAGTGCATGGGGCATTAAAGTGATGCATGATCTCACTCAAGATCATCAAAGGACTTGTGAGGTTAGAGTTGAGGGTTCATGGAAGTGTCTTACCACCCCTCTCCTTTGAGGGCTCTTGCACTAACCGGTTATAGAGAGAGGAGCTTCCACAAAGACGAACTCAGACCAAGATATTATGCTTTGTACTCAGTACGTACCTACCACATGATGCCACCTTCGATATGGCCGTCAAGGTATGAGATTTGATAGAACTTGTAGTCGAGAAATGTCCGAATTGTTGGGTAAGGGAGATGAGCCACTTGTCCCTGGGCATGGGACACCATGTGTAGTGAGCTAGCTCCCAAGGACCGACCTCTCTATAAGGAGGAGATCTCCACCTCCATGCATGCAAGATAAAATGTAACAATCATTGCCTTCTCTGGCAAGCTTTAAAGACTTTACAACCACTTTTCTTCTACACTGCTTCAATTCTCATTTCCTACCTTTGGTGATCTCATGCCAACTCAATGCCTACCATCTTTATAGAAGACTCCATACCTGGTATCTTATTGCCAGCCTTCCACTGGGAAATGGATAGGGATGTAATCGGTTTGGGACGGTCGGTGTTTAGGCAAAATTTTACACCGTACCGATAATGTTGATTCTATTATTATATTGAGGGGTTGTTTGGGATGATCTAAATAAGTGCATTTTTTGACTTTTTACGAAAAAGCATGAAATATGGGTTGGGTTTGAAGTGATGTGGTAGAGAGATGATGTAATTTAAATAAGATGATGTGACTTAGGCCTGGTTTGGGATAATGAAAAAAAGTCAAAAAGTTAAAAAGTTACTCAAAAAGTTAAAAAGTTATCACTACTCACAAAAAAAAAAAAAAAATTAAAAAATTAATTTTACACAAGTAATTTTCAAACAACTTTGACGTCCCACAGGCGCAACTGGCTTTTTGGAAAAATTGCACTGATTTAGGTGCACAAATAACAGTGTTGTTCGGCCCGTGGGGGCCCATCACGGGTCTCGTTTTAATAATCTGAACCGTTCAATGTGTAGAATTCATCGAGTACTATATGCCTGCAAAAAATTACGTTGATTGGATATTGGTAACTATATGATCAAATTAGTTAGAATTTATAAAATGGATGGTGTTATAGTTAACGGTTGAAAAAAAACTAATCCGATCAGATAGCTATCGATATCAAATTAATGTGATTTTTTAAAAGCATGTGGTACTCGACGATTTTTACATATTGAATGGTTTTGATTAACAAAACGGAACCCATGGTAGGCCGCCACAGGCAGAACAACACCTTCAATTCATTGCCCGAAAAGCAGGGAACCATCTCCCTCCCCCCCCCCCTACTCTGCACACTCTGTCCCACCTTCAATCCCACCGTACAGCCTATTCCATCCAATCTTCTCTTATACATTAATTTATACAATTTTTTAATATACATTTTTTTCGTAAAAAGTCAAAAAGTTATCCCAAACAACTATTTTTTTTCCCTCAACTTTTTAGTCCAAAAAGTTAAAAAGTGCACTTATTTAGGACACCCCAAACAACCTCTTAAATAGGATAGTGACTCTTTGACTTTTTGACTTTTTTAGATTATGCCAAACTAGGCCTGAGAACCAATATATATTGAATTTTTCACTAAACCGCACAAAACCGTACCAATTCAAATGGTTTGGCTTGGTGCGGTTTAATTAGTTTAGGGCCTTTCAAACTTGAATTGCTTCTTAAATTTGTAGTTTAGTAAATAATTTATATAAAAATTTGAGGTAAAATTAGAAATAAAATATAATCTGAAAATCTAAATTTTGACACCAAAGCAAAACCAAGTTTAAAACCATCATCCCATAAGGCTAAATCACAAGTCTATCAAATAGAGCCAAAACAAAAAATTGAAAATGTCATAAGCATCTGCTATAGCTATATAAGCATAGAAGTAGCAAAACTTGACTCATGCACATATGGGTGGCAAACTAATAACTTATTACATTGGCCCTGTTTAGTAGAGCTTTTTTTAAGTTAAAAGTTAAAAATCAGAAAGCAGAAACTAAAAGCACTCCTACCCCAGTTTTTAAATAATCAGTTTTTTTCAGCTTATTTAAAATATTTCTACCTAATAAGTTATAAGTAGAAGCTGCACCAAAACAGTCTGGCACAGATTCCCAAATCAAAATAAGCTATAATCATCCCTCAAAAGCTGTAACAAATAGTCCCATTGTCAATATCTATTGTCAAACCTAGAATATTTAAGAAAAAATAAACAATTAAGTTAATCAACTGAATTTTGTACTCAACCAATTTCATTATATATTTAATATATACTATGTTTAATATGGGAAACTTTTGGTTGGTTTCGGTTTAATTCAGTGCACAAGGTGCCTAAACCAGTACTGAATTGAAAATCGAAAAAAATTAATTTTAAAAACTGCACTGCATAGACTGATTCATATTAAAAAACCTACGAAATATAACTAATTCAGTTTGGTTTAATCGGTTTTTTCGATTTTTCTTACATTCCTAGCTACAAACAATTGCCTTTTTTGTTGTCCTTATATGGAAAACTGACTTGGAGACCCAGGACTCAGAATTGTGGCTCTTTGTGGAAGAAGGGAGAATTCAAGAGTTGCTTGGTCTGCTGGTTCAATGGTTCTAGCTTCTAAGCGGTCCATGTCTTGTATTGAGATTTCAGGTATTGGCCTCAAGTGACTTGATCCTTGAGGATAGTGTCTATCCACTCCCCAAATGACTTCTTGTTCTTAGTGTTTTTAAGGATGGGACGAGGGTTTAAAGGGACACAATTCATTTTTACCTCGTAGTTTAATATTTGGGTGTCATGAAGTGTCAAGGGATGCTGGTGGGTATTGAGGCCAAGTTTGGCATGATTTAAAAAAGACAAAAAGTCAATATCCTATTTAAGTCATATCATCTTATTTAAGTCACATCACCTCTCCAACACATCAACCCAAACCCAACCCATATTTCATAAAAAGTCAAAAAGTGAACTTATTTAGTCTTCCCAAATTAGGCCTGAATAGTGATTTCTCATTGCAGTAGAAAGTTGTTTCACTGAGTTTTATGGGTGAATGCTGTTAAGGATATCTCAGCAAAGGTTGGTGTCATCATGGAGAGGACTAAATTGCAATTCAAATTGTAAAAATTTCTTACAACACAGTGGCTTTATATTTTTGGGTAATTTTTTTAATTTATGTCAACAATTTGTGTTATGGTATGGGAGCTTTAGACATGGTGATTGACCAAACTGGATGGTCTATCCCATTGCTGATGAGGACTGAAGTTGGTTATGCAGTATCTTTTACCTTACAAAGTTGCTATAACTACTTATTCCCTTGTGTCATGCATTAACCTGCTTGAGTTGTAACAATGTAGTGTCTTAAGCGTCCTCTCTAGGTGACTTGAAAGGCTCCCTCTTTAATGCTCTCTTTTCTTCTTCTTCAAGAACCTTTTGCGTTTTGTTTTTTTAGTTTGAGAGTAGGCATGCCCAGAGGTAGAACAGGAACCTTCAGAGGACCATAAAGGGCGGAAATGGGAAAAAAGAAGAAAATTACTACTCCCTACGACCCATTCTTTTTGCCTTTTTAGGAAGTCTCAAATAGTCTATTTTAAAAGGTAAAGGTATTTAATCATATAATTTTACAAAATTATAGTTTTTGGATGAGTGGGAATGCATTTAATAGAGTAGATCAGAGTGATCATTTTGGAAATTCAAACTATAGTTGTGTGTAAAATGCATCCAATATATGTCCTAAAAGGTTAAGGGTGTGTTTGGTTTGTGTTTGTAGAGTAGTTTTTGAGATAAAAAGTATGAAAACTTGTTTGGTTTGCCTTTTTTCAGTAATGGTTTTGGAAAATTGTTTTGGGAGGGAGAGTTTTAAAAAAAGTGATTAATTTGATGTGTAAGAGAGAGTGATTTTGGAAAGAAGGTAACCAAACAAAATTTTGAGATTTTTTTTTGAAAAAATTTGTTTGGTTTGGTTTGATTACTCTTGAAAATTTGTTTGTAGAGAATTTTTTCCAAAAATTTTTCTGAAAAACAAACCAAACAAGGCCTAAATTTTTCATAGTGGACAAATAGAATGCATACGTTTTAGCTGTCTTTCATTGGGTTCCCATTGTTTCTGTTTATCGTAAGTTTGTCCCAATAACTATTTGCATTACATCCGTCTTCAACTGTTATTTCTTTACACAGTTGCTCGAATTGCTTTGGTGAAGCCTGAGAAGGCTAGAGCAGTTGAAGATGTTATACTCAGAGCTGCTCAAATGGGTCAGATAGTTGAGAAGGTAAGTTTATAGAGTAGCATTGTTCTTCGTGCGTATTATTTTCCTTTTCTTTTTTGTCATTTTAAAACTCCAATCAAAATACGATACTAACATGTTCGATTTAACGATCATATAGGTTTCTGAAGAGAGGCTCATAACATTGCTGGAACAAATCAATACCCAAACAACTAAACAGACAAAAGTCACGGTAAATCCTATTATTTTATTCCTGTCTATCATATTACCTTGTATGTTGTTTACAAATCGTTGGATTGTTTGTTACCCTGTGGTATTGTAATATCTCAGATCCAGAGGCGTCGGAGTGTTCTTGAGGATGATGACTAGCTCAGTTGAATCCAGTGCTTCTTATCTGATGATATGTGATAATGCAATTCTCTCTTGTAATCTATATCTTAAGATGTACACTTTTTGTGATCTGCAATTTTCTCGTCTGTATCTTGGTCATCTTGATTTCCCCCTTGTGTCTCAGTACACTTTTTTATTCCTGAGTGGTTATGAAATTGAATGATTGCCAGCAGGATAGACTTGTGAAGAAAAAATTTCATTTGAACCTAATGCTTCTTATTTGTCGGGCTGTTTGGTGGTGCAGATTATGAAGCTACTTATAACTATTTATTTTTATTATTCTTTTGAAGATTTATGTCAGAGTGCTTGGTACAGCTTTTGTTTGCAATTTGTGAAGTAGATTAACTTAGCCTCCGTTTGGGAAGTGGGTTGGTTTTTTGGCTTTTTTGGCTATTTTAGCCTGGGCTAAAAAGCTTGGTTTGGGAAGGACTTTTTGGCTTTTTTGACTTTTTTTGTAAGAGAAGAGTGTAATGATTATGGGTTGATGTGATGTTTTATTTTTTGTGGCTAAAATAGTCTATTTTATCTTTTGTGGTTAAAATAGCTAAAAAAGTCCACTTTAATTCTTCCCAAAAGGACTAGATTATTGGGATGCAAGGGTAGATGTGTTTTTAGTTTATGCTATTTGATTATGGGCTTGTTAGACGCTGCACCAAACAATAGACCACTGTACCGACACGAATCAGTTTTATATATGGCACTATACCGGCACAAAACACTTCTAGTGATGGCAATAGATATTGTCGTGAAAATATTTTTTTAGTAACTTATCGACTCAAAATGTTAGCGGGTAATAGGTCTGTGATGGCATATCTCTCTCTCTCAAAGGATAAGATACACCTATGGTTCATAAATTCCGTTTTGTGTTAATTAGGTCTTTCAACTATTAATTCTTAAAAGTTTTAATTTTGATAATTCATTTATCAACATTTAAGAAGACTATCTTTTATCTTACGAGTTGATATTATGGTTGGTAGTCATAAAAGTGAATATTTTGAGAATTAAAATAATAAAATACATACTTTAGAAGTAATATGTTGATTTTATTATTATTTTGTAACAATTTAGATGGTGCATTTGAAATTAGATCAATTTGAACCAAATTAAAATTTTTGAGGACAGTTGACAAAATTGAAACGCGGAGGAGGAAAGTGATGCCAAGTGTATATTTTAAGGATTATGTATGTATTTTATTCCTCAAATGTAACATACACTTTTTTTAGAACATAGATATTATGTACTTAAAAAAACACTCAGAATTTGAATCTATTATTATTGATTTAAACTTAGTGTGTCAAACTTAGAATGAATATAATTTATACACATGGAGCACTTATTTTAATATTTCTATGAGTAACATTATTGTTCTTAGAATTTCAATGAAGTGAGTGGTCTCTTTAGCGACCTTGACCAAGTGAAGTATTATAAGTTATGAGTTAAAGATCATTCATTGCTTTACCTAAAAGATTTAAAAAATGAAGAATATAATAAGGAATTATACATTAGGGCATGACCTTGTCAACATATATATATTTTTTTCATGACTAAAAATTATATAAATATATATTGTATATTAAACAACTGATAAATTAATAATCAGGTAAGAAAGTTGTTTTCTTTCTCTTTCTTCTTTAGTAGTCAGTTGAAACATTATTGAAAGATTGAATTAATAAAATTATAATAGTAGAAGGAATGCTTGAGTTGTTAGAATTGGTCACATATATTGTGACCCATGTGGGAATCTGATCAAACAAAGACCTTTCACATTTCACAAATAGTAAATGTTATGTATCAAAAATTCATACACAAAAAAATATGAAGCAAAATAATATGCAATCTAAATTCATTCTAAGTATTAGTTTCGCTGTATAAGAGTTAAATTTGAATCATATAAGTAATATTTTTCTTGATATTTTTATGTGTCTGAATTCTTGATACCTAACATTACTGTTGCGTGTAGAGACTACTAACTCAGACATGAAAAAATATCAAGAAAAACAATATGTGATCTTGATTTTCACCATATACTTTGATGATTTATTTATTTATTCTACAGAAACTTGCACAAAATATGTGGGTTCCACCTCTTATCTATCTTTTATATAACAGTTATGTTATGTGCACAGAAGGAACCAAACACAGAATGCATAGATGTGAAATAAAAAATGTTTTCATTCGTAATTGCAAACATATTCACATCAAATATGCTGTCGTTTGGTTATTTTCTGTGAACGTAGACTGTTTTTTTTAATAAAGTTATGAAAATCTACAATTGTTCACATTTGAAAACTCCATTTAGCATTGTAATTTGGATAATCAAAAGACAGAGATATGGCTGTTGCATGTTGCTTACTAAACTGTTTAGCCCCAAATACAAGTTAATTAAAATATAAGAACCCAAATTACAATGGTGTTTATATAAAATGGGAAGTATTGACTCATTGGAACATTCCAAGTGGAGTAGATGACACATAATGATTTGGGTATGTTGACATTTGACCTATTGGAGGATGTAATTGATTTGATAACTCAAGAATGAATATATAATGCGATCTCAATTTACCACTCAAACCTAACATTTTTTAGGTGGCCAATGGGGGAGTGAACAGTGGCTTAGGCTCCTCTCCCTTTTTTTTGGGGTGGGAATTGGAGATTTTTGGTCTAATGCATCATAAGGCTAGTAGTGCAACACATCATCAAAACTTAAAATCAACTGCATACAAATTATAATCATTATGAGTTTTGGATATTCTTTAACTATTTTGGGTTAATATAAAGATTTGTTGATGTGTCTTGGTTACATATATTGATCACTTATTTGTATGAATAGAAGAGATCTCCATAAACATGTCAGTTAGCATTTTTTTGGGATAATTAATAGGAGATGATACAATATTACACAAACCTTGTGGGGAACAAATACACTCCAACTTTGTAGAAACGTGAACTTTTCACCTCAACTACTGAAATATCTAAGATGTCAATCGGGTGCCACAAAATAAATTTATGTAATATTCTTGAGTTCGAGTCTTATTTTTACGAGCGCAATTTCTCTATTCCTATTTTCCCCTATTGATTATAAAAAGAAGAAGAAGTTAGGTCATCATTTTTATCACATTCTAAAACGTGAAAATGAGTTAGATATATATTCTAAAACATGAAAATGAGTTAGATACATATCGGTCATGATAAAGTAAACTGGTTCAACTTTGGATAACAATGGTCTTTTCCAAGATAGTTAGGTTCTTGTATTGTCAGTTGGTATTAGTGCAAACTTGGTCAATGAGATTGAGTCTCTTCTTTTTTTTCTTTTTTCTTTTTTCTAGCATGGATTGAGTCTCTATGATCCTTCTTATTTCAAGTATTCTATTCAATGTGAATAATTATTAGGGTAGTTCTAGAATAAGACTGTGTTTGGATTTAAGATTTGTGGAGAAAAAAGAAAAAGTGCGAGAAATAAATTAATTTTTTCTTTATCTCCTTCATCTTTTATTTTTTCCTTCACAAATTCCTATACAAATATCAGCACCCTAGGTAGACCGTTCTTGTCACTCAAATATCTAACAAAGGTAGATCAACATTGTTTCACTTATAAATTTTTCAGCTACACAAATGGTTAAAAACACCACATGAATTGTCACATGATATTTTAAGTTTACTAAATAATTATCAATGATAGTGTGAACATTAATGTTCCTAAATATTATTATGATCAAAATTCAGATAATTAAATATTGAAATCCATATAGTGTCCATTGTAGTTTCATATCCTTCATTTTCCAATTTTCTACAGTTATTTCCAAGAAAAAAATATCAACATGATGAGGCCTTATATACAAACTTATTTTTACACAATAATAATAATAATAATAATAATAAATCCACACTAAAATAAGTTCTACATTTTATAATTATAATTTTAAATTTATAGATCTGAAAATTTTATTAATTCATATCAAAATAGTCATGATGTTTACTTCGCTTATTTTCAAGTTCATTAGGGTGCTCAACTTCATTTTATTTTTTGAAAACATATATATATTTTTTACGAAACTAACATGTTAATTGGTCGCAAATTAAATCCATTGAATGAGTATAATGGATCATGCATACCTTTAAAATGTCATTTATTTCGTTATGAATTAGGAAATTAATGTGCCTTTTCATTGCAAAAATTGTCTAGACAAGCCTTTTACTTTTGTTTATTTTCATGTTTTACTTCATTTTTTTCTTGATATCCTTTTTTCTGTTTTTTGTTTTAATTTTTGTTTTCATGAAATGAACGTGTGTGTCCGTTGCAAAATAAAACCTTTGAATGAGTCTTTGGAATATCATGCATACCCTTATAGAGTCATTTGCTTCATTATGTGAAATAGGAAATTAGTCTACTTTCTCTTAACACTTTTGAATTAGGTGTTTATTTTTCCTTTTTGGTAATTTAAATGTGTTAACATCTCAAAGATACTTTTTTCATTGTTCACATACACACCTAATACCAATACCTACCTTTTATAGACACCTCAAATAACAATACCAGAGACCCTACCCCTATGTCACAGCTAAGGTCAATAATCTCATGCTATTCTCTCTCTCTCTCAAAAAAGTCTTCTCTTTCAAGCAACATCCCTTTATGAATTGAATGGCCATTTATATTCCAAACCTTCTATTTCTCCAATACCATGTACACATTCCATAAATGATTTGTTTCATGTCACTTCTCCACAAAAAAATGTTACCCTAGTAGATAACATGTCCCTATCCTACAATTCATATAATACATATAATATACATAGGACCCGTCGACTAGTCATGGTTGGGACTAAAAAAATACAAAAGATAAAATAAATTAAAAAAGTCAATAAGATAAAATATCACATCTAAATCATAATCATTTTACCTTTTCTCTCACAAAAGTTAAAAAAGTCAAAAAAATCAACCCAAACGAATTTTTTACTCTCAACTAAAATTGTCCCAACTCAAAAAAACCAACTAAAATAAGTCATAGCCAAACAATAACTTAAGGTTATTTTGCAAACTATTTTAATTAATTTTTTAATTTTTTTACGAAAACACCTACAAAAAATGTAGAGATAATGTTAATTTTTTAGTAATAGTTTTTTAACTTTTTAATTATTTTAACTAATCCTAAAGCTTAAAATTTGAAATCACATGTTTAAACGGTGTTTCATTTGGTTTTAATTTTTTCAGCTTAAAAAGCTTAAAATAAGGTAAATATAAGTTTTTTTAAAGTTGGGTACTATTTTTAAAAGAAAAAAACAATTTTTGGTTATATGCAACCAAACGGGGTATGTAT